ACACAATGTCATTAATACTGTTTTTATCACCACTGCAGTCCACGTGATAAATAGAGTTGTTGTCCCATGTCCCACCTCACCTCTGCCCCCTGCTATGTCTGCATCAGTAATTTTCCTATCAAAGTTTGAGGGGATAAATTTTGGATTATGCTTCTCTTCTTTGTGCAGCAGTGTTTGTCATATGTCTGACCAGCCTTTAGGAAGTAATAGGTGTCCAAAACTCTAGATAAGATAGTTCATCTTGTACCATCTAACTTGGCCAACTTTCTGAAGGCTTTGTTTACCTGGAGTAAAAATGTGTTTGACTGCAAGTGAGTGTGACCCAGTGTATAAGAAGGAATCTTGAAGGAAAATGACAAATATTTTCATGTGAGCAGGCTGTCTCCCAGGAGAACCAGCCTGCATCTGAGCTGGTTAGGCAATAGTTTAAATTTAAATTAGGCAATAATTTAGGTTAACAATTTAAAAATGTCAGTAGCTGAGTTTGGATAGTTACTGGTGAAAATAACTGATGACTGAAGGCTAAATAATTTTTTTTTTGACATATCCTTGGCAAAGAAGTTTCTAGGAAAAACAATTGATGAGTTTTCTTTTGACTCAGAGAAAATTTAGTGTTTACTTTCCTCTTAATTCCTCACCAGTTCTTGATTCCTAATCAGTTAAGCAAGGATGAGTGGACTGCAGCTTTGGAATCTTTGGTACATGATGAAAACAGAATTAGTCAGTTCAACTAATTTAGTCTGTTCAGCAAAGCCCTTTTGAATAGAAACCACAACATAAAACTTTCTTCGTGTATTGTTGATAAAAAAGTCTGTTTATTTTGAAAAGTTTAAATGCTTTTTTTTGAACTTCCATATATTTTACTTTGTAGTGTTTGACAGACATGTCAGTATTTTATTACAACATAAAGGAAGTGTGAAACTGTAATCGTTGCTGTGTAAACGCACCTGGGTGTACCATATTGGCAAGAATATAAAATAGACTTCTATTAGAGAAGGATGTTCCATTTACGGGGCAGAACAGATCAGGGAACTGTTGATGGGATGCATCATGTAGTTGTAAACAATCATGTAGTTATAAACAGCCCTTCAGCCAACCCTTAAGCCTAACTTTGTTTTATCTCCATCAGCTGTCCATTGTAATAATTGCTAATTGGTCATTTTTTTCTTCAAGGGAAAAGATGCAAAGCTAAATGTAGTGAATTCTCACTTCCCTGTTATCAGAAAATTAGCAAACATGTTTGCCAAATGCAGTTAGCAGCAAGCAGAGCAAGAAACTCAGGTTAGGGCAGGTGGTATGCCTGGTAGATAAATCAGCACATGAAACCTGAAGTCTCAGGAGATTATGCAATAAACTGTCTACCTGAGGACTTTGACACACTTTATTTATTTAGTTAGTTATTTCATTATGCATTTATTTTGCTTTGTGCATGCTTGGAATAGAGTTAAAAAACTCAGAACAACACAAAACCCAACCAACCAAACAAATAAAACAAAAAAAACCCCATTAGATCTATGCAGGTTGAACAGTTGCAGGAAAAAAACCACCAGTAAAAATAATCATAATTTGTCAGTTAAAAAAGTATACCTAAACTCATTTTTTAATGTACGTTTAGAACTAGATATTGGTTTCTAGTGAAGAATTTGAGTTTACTTGCCTCAGAATTGATTGCATATGTTGCTCTTATGATGTCTTCCATGTCAGTGGCCTCCAAAGTCATATGCACAAGACCAGCCAGCCAGATGTGGGAAGAAAATCTAGGATTCATATTTTATCTGAAAAATAAGAAAGAAAGCTTTTAGTACACATATTTACACTGGCACCCTCGCTTGGTCTGTATGTCACGTAGTCCTGTGTCACATTTGGTACATGAGGTGTCCTGAAGGCAGATTTAGTATTATGCAGTATGGTGAGGTAGCAGTAGCACCTTCATTTCTTCATTCACTTCCAGTGTATTGTAATGGATACAGTTCACTTGTGACCAGTTAGGCGGATTTATGGATTATATTATTTAGTTTTTACCAAACAAACCCTAACAAAATAGGCAAGCAGCTTAAAAAAAAATCCTGCAAAGAGACCATGGATTGTAGATAATACTAATAATGTGAATACTAAGAACATGTCAGAGCTGATGCTTCTACTCCTGGTACGAGCTCTTGGTCGTTTGGCAATTAGATCTGACAAGAAGTCGGCCAAAAAATTTTGTTCATTAAGAAGGGTATTTCAAATACGGATTTACATCCACTACTATAAATGATGAACCTCACCCTAAGAGAACATTGTATCTTGAGATATCAGCTAATGATAGCATGAAACCATCACAATTAGCAAGGCATTTAAAAACTAAGCACCCAGAACATGAAGACAGACGTCTACAATTTTTTTCAGCAACGCTAGTCATTACTCAATCCAGTCAATACTCAATCCAAGACTTTACAAGATTTCACTAAACTTAATGATAGATATATAGAAAACTCTTTTGAGATTTTTCAGTAGCAGAAGACATAGAAGCCACATAGTGATGGGAATACACTTGGTCTTCCTGCCACAGTAAAAATGTCTGAAATAATACATGGAAAACAATGTGGTGGCAAACTAAAATGCATTCCTTTGTCAGCAGATACTATTGGAAGATGTCTGGAAAACATTGCCAAAGTTTTGAAGAAACAAGTTAGAAAAAATTGCACAGTGGGAGAAGCTTGCTGTACTGACAGCTGGATGAAAGTATAGATGTTTGGTTTGTAATGTGGCTCAGTTTAACGTAGTTGCTAAATTCTGTGTCCATAATGAAATTCACAAAGAACTAAGTCCCTAGGGAAAGATGTACCAAACAAGATATATTCTTAGCAGTGAATTCTAAACACTATCTTCTTCAGTAGCAGCATTTTTTTTTAAAATGAAAAAACTGTACAAATGTAACCACAGATGGAGTGGCTGATTTTACTGAACTGAAAAAGGTTCTGGGGTAAGGTTTACAAGGTGAGCACCACATATAGAATTTATTTACTGCATCATGAATAGGTAAGCAAGAAGGAAGTTGGAGCCATAAGTGTATAAAATGCTTCAGGATGTCATAATTGTGGTTCATTGTATGAAAACAAGGCCTTTAAATAGTAGAATCTTTACAATAATCTGTAATGACATGGGGAATGACCAGGAAAATCTTTTGTACCATGCAGAAGTTTGCTGGTTATCATGGCAAAGTGCTTAGAAGAGCTGCAAAACGTATTAGTTATTATGTTTTTATTATTAATTATTATGATTAATTATGTGTTTTATTTCACAAAAAGACAAGTGTTACAAATTGACCTGTTCAGTGATAACAGGTGACTGTCAGCAGTATGCTGACTAACAGTTATTTTAAAAAAAATAAAGAAAATAAAGACCCTTAAGACACCTTCCCTTGAAAGTGAAGGTGACATTTTAACAATGAGCAAGAAAATGACTGCTTTTTGAAATAAGCTGATATTATGGAGAGAGCATTTTGAAAATAGATGTTTGGAAATGTTTACACCACTGTGGGATTTTTTTGTTGCCAGAAAAGATGCATATCATCTGTAAAACCTCCCATATTTGTACACTTAAACTTGGAAGCAGTTTAAAAGTTTAAACTTTTAAACTTTTACCGGCTTAAAAGTTCTCTTAGTTAAGGGTTTCAGAATCTGAAAATTTGTTAAAAATATAGAAATGCAACACCTTCCACTGGCCAAACTTCAAGAAAAAATCTTGTATAATTAGTGGATGGGAATGAAAAATGAGTGTCATGATTTAGAAAGTGTAGCCAGTGATGCACTTTCATTTAGATGCTCATATATTTATAAATTGTTTTTTCCGACTATGACAGCCAATAAACTGAATTTAAAACTAGACATTCAAATCACTGTATTATAAAGTGTTAAGTCAACTTTTTAAAAAATGCTGAAGCATATTCAATCAGATGACTCTCACAAAAAAACCCTCCTTTTTTTTAGCAATAGCATAAAGGTTTTGTGTACCATTATATATTGTTTAAAAATACTGTTTATTTTATCTTTATCTCGTCTGTTTTTATATATACAGAATGTTTTAGTACAGTAGTATATATATATGTAATTTATAAATAAATACACACATATTGGAAGTACATACTCAAAATATTTTTACTTATAGAAGTGCATGATGAAAAAGGTTTAGTGACAACTGTTCCCATATTATTATTATTGAAACCAATCAGTGTACACAAAAATAAATATCTGGAAGTTCATACAGATCATGAAAAGTGTATTTTTCCTCGTGAAAAAATAGTTGTCTGATAGAAACAGAATATTTTACTTCTGGATGCGTGTCAGGTGTAGTAATTTAGGAGGACAGGAGTGATGCTGTTTGCATGTGCTTCAAATGCACCAAGAGATGCACCAGCTGGGATTTGAGACACACTGTTTTAGTCACTGAGTGGAGTAGTCCTCGTAAAGGGCTTATTGTCTCAATAGAGGAGGGAAGTGATTTGTGGGTGGATAACAGTGGTGTAGAAAGCTGATGGCAAATCTAGGGATAGAATGCAAATGTTTGTCGTCTGAATCACTTGTGTTACTGCTTGAGTGTATTGTTCTGGCGACAGCTTGATTTTCAAGCATGTAAATGTTTCAGACATTTTGTTCATTTGAAGTTGTGAGTGCTTTGCTCATCTGAAATCAGACCATAAGAGTATCTTCTAGAGAGAGGAATATTGATATATCATAGCTGAATTTCTTTTCTTGCCTTACACAGTTGTTCTAAACTATGTAAATGTATGTATATGTTCCTGAAGTAACATACACATCCACAGAGATGTAACATGGGACAAATTTCCAAAGTAATTGCTTTTTTTAACTGCTGTTATGAAATAATGTGTTCTGCCATACATAAAAAAACATTTGGTAACTTGTGATTGGTTGAACATTTTATTTACTAGCTGTAGCTAACATGCAAAGATAAGTACTTTTTAATAAGCTACCTGTTTGCTTTTTTTTTTTTCTTTCTAGGCTAAAGCCTAAACCTCTGACATGGCCACAGCCTCACCAAGATCTGATACAAGTAACACCCATAATGGAAGATTACAGATGCAAGTAACAGGCAAGTAGTGATTTTTACAGGAAAACACATGTATTCTAAAAAAGCAATCTTGGAAATGGATATAAAAATGAACTACTATAGTTAATATTTTAATTAATAATGTGAATGTTACAGTTAAAAATGTGACTATAAGACGTAGATGATTAGAAGATAGAGATTATACAGTGACTTGGATGATAGGGTTTAATTTCTCTTAAAAATAAAAAACATAAGATATTCAGTACAACAGTAGGGACAATTGCAAGGAAATTTGCTTGGGATCAAATAATTAGTAACACATATTCTGAAGAGGGAACACATATTACTGAAATTCTACAAAAGAGATTGGCAATTGTAGTGAACCCCAAGCTGGAAATGGGTCTAATGTTGTAAGTGAAGGTGGAGAAGAACTGGAGAAGATCACAAAATTTTCTAGCCCTGCAGAAGATTAAGGTCTTTCATTACATGTCAGGTAAATGTTTGTTGAAAATAATATTGCTATATAACATCCTTAGGGCAGCAAGTTAGATTACACAGACAAGTGGAATAATTTAGGTTGGAAGGGGCCCTTGGTGATTTCCTAGTCCATTTTTCTGCTGAAGGCAGGATACCTTTGAAGTTGAATCAGGTTGCTCCTGGTATTGTCCAGTTGAATGTTCAGTATCTCAAAGGCTATAGATTGCCAACTTTCCTGAGTATGAACCACATCGCTGTGAAAATGTTTTTCCTTCTATCCAGTTGGAATTTACTATGTTGTCTCTTGTGACTGTTCAGTTTTGTTGCTTTTGCTGTGCTGGTTCTCATAGTTTGAGGCAAAATTCAGCCATCTGCTGGAAGGTAAACACAATAGGCTACAAACAATCCTGGAAATTTCTGATTGTGATGGTAACACTTTTTCCATAGATGTTGAACAGGCCAAGTAGATTATTTGCTTTGCTGGTCATGGATAAGAAGTGGTCAGTGATGTGAGAATCGGTTTCAGTCTTAGCTGCTCTTTTTGTGGGATGGCGGAGCAGAACTGTGACTTGTTTGTGGTCTGAATATAAGCAACATGCATCTAGATAAACAGATTTTATAGCTAATTATCGCAGTGTTACAGCAGTTAAAAGTGAAAATGTTACCAGCAAATAGTTAAGATACTATGCATAAATACATCTGCCATGAATATATGTGTATGTATGTATGTATATAAGTATTCTGTTGGTAACTAACTTGAACTTTCCAGGGATTTTGAGAAATCTGGGAACTCTGAAGTAAGAATGGATGCATATATTAAGGCTATCCTGAACAAAATTTGGACAAAACTTGAATAAGATACCACGTCTTAATGAAAGCTGCATCTCAAGAAAGATGCATAATGCTGGGTGATCCAAAGATGGCTAGGTTATCTGAGAAAAAGTATGTTGTTGGAGAGTCCCCCAAAATGAATATTTTATGAAATTAGATAAGACAGGAACCTTAAAACTGACTAACCTTATGTAAGGATCACATAATAATGTGATGAGTCATCAAAACTGGCAAAAACTAACAGCAGAGTGGAGCCACCTGTAGATTGAAAATACATATATATAAATATATATATATATAATAACGAACTGACTTTCACAAATGACCCCTAACTTCAGATATGTGTATACAGAAATGATAATTTTGTGTGCTGTGCTGAACTGCTCCTTACGTAAATAGTCTTGTATTTTTCTGGCACTGAGGCTTCTCTTGACTTCAAGCGATGTGGTTCAAAGATCAAACGGGAATAAGGCTGTACAACATTTAGGATTAGTTTTCTGAAGGTTTAGTTTTCTAACCAGTCCTTATTGCAAGATCACAGGAATGCCAGTGGCAGCACAGAGAAAGGAGTGGGAGACAAGGAATTTACGACTGTAGTATTGCTGACTGACACTGTATGTTTATGTTTAGTTTTGTTTATGCTGCTGTAGAATCTAGACTTGTATTTCAAAAACTATACCTAAAACACTTTTATAAAGGCAGCAAGTAACATAAACTCATTTTGCAGACAATTCATATGGAGTGGTGGCTTGTTTGAGTTCGAATAGATACATCAGGTTGCAGGCATGCTCTGCCATCAGTATTTGTTCAAATATGCTTGGTGAGATATCCTGTCTTGTTAGTTCTTTTTGAAGTCTTACTAGTATTATTACTTATTCATAATTTTTAAGGGATGTCCTAACCAAAAAATGATAATTGTCTCCTTCTATGTTTAACAACTCAAAGCTTATTTAAAACATAACCAGATACAAGGGGGGAAAATTAAAAGGAAGTTTGAATATGATGAATAAATACCTGTGTTTTAATAAATGTATTTGCTTTTAGAAAGCAAATTATGGACAAAAAATGTGGAAGAAGTAGAGGTTGTCAAAGCTTAAAAATACATCATGATTTCAGATGAAATAATATGATCCGTGTATGGAATTATGTTTTTAGTTTTCTACATTTAAGCTTTCATCTTTATCAAGCCAGCAGTTCCCTTTTATGAACCATGATGCATTACTTAGACTAGATTTTTCAAATGTGAGGGAGTTAAGTTTGCACCTTTTAATTGAAATTAAATAAAAGTCTGTGGCTAATGCCATTATAATCTTGGATGGTTGCATCCCACTAACTTTTAAGTAACTAACGTGTATGTCTCAGGATACTGTAATCCAGAAATTCCATTAACAAATTTACAGATGACACCAAGTTAGGGGGGAGTGTTGATCTGCTGGAAGGCAGGAGGGCTCCTCAGAGGGACCTGGACAAGCTGGAGAGTTGGGCTGATTCCAACGGGATGAGGTTCAACAAGGCCAAGTGCCGGGTCCTCCACTTTGGCCACAACAACCTCCTGCAGTGCTACAGGCTGGGGACAGTGTGGCTGGAGAGCAGCCAGGCAGAAAGGGACCTGGGAGTTTGGATTTACAGGAAGCTGAACATGAGCCAGCAGTGTGTGCCCAGGTGGCCAAGAAGGCCAATGGCATCCTGGCCTGTATCAGGAACAATGTGGCAGCAGGAGCAGGGAAGTGATTCTTCCCCTGTACTCGGCGCTGAGTGTGAGGCCACACCTGGAGTACTGTGCCCAGTTCTGGGCCCCTCAGTTCAGGAAGGATATTGAGGTGTTGGAGCAGGTCCAGAGAAGAGCAACGAGGGTGGTGAAGGGACTGGAGCACAAGTCCTATGAGGAGAGGCTGAGGGAGCTGGGGTTGTTTACCCTGGAGAAGAGGAGGCTCTGGGAAGACCTCATTACTCTCTGCAACTACCTGAAAGGAGGTTGTAGCCAGGTGGGCATAGGTCTCTTCTCCCAGACAACCAGCAGTAGGACAAGAGGGCATGATCTTAAGCTGTGCCAGAAGAGGTTTAGGTTGGATATTAGGAAAAAATTTTTTACGGAGAGAGTAATCAGACTCTAATTGGAATGGGCTGCTCAGGGAGGTGGTGGATTCTCTGTCTGTGGAGTTTTTTAAGATGAGACTGGATGTGGCACTTAGTGCCATGATCTACTAACCACGGCGGTGTTGGATCAAGAATTGGACTTGATGATCTCAGAGGTCTTTTCCAACCTGGTCAATTCTATGATTCTATGATACATGTCTCCCTTTCAGATAGTTTGCTAAACTTCTGTTGTTTTTGGTTTAACCTCAGCCAGCCCCGTGAAGCCACTTGCTCACTTGCCTGCCAGTGGGATCAAGAATAGAATCAGAAGGGTAAAAGCCAGAGAACTTGTGGGTTGAGATAACGAGTCTAATAGGGAAGGCAAAAGCCATCCACACAAGCAAAGCAAAACAAGGAATTAATTCACTGCTTCCCATGGGCAGGCATTTGCTCAGCCATCTCCAGGACAGCAGGGCCCCATCACATGTAACAGTTACTTGGGATGACAAAGAGCATCACTCCAAACTTCCCCTCTTTCCTCCTTCTTATATACTGAACATGATGTCCAATGGTATAGAATATCCCTTTGGCCAGTCAGGACCACCTGTCCTGGCTGTGTCTCCTCCCAGCCTTCCATGCACTCCCAACTTCCTTGCCAGCACAGCAGTACAAAAAGCAGAAAGGGCCTTGTCTCTGTGCAAGCGCTGCTTAGCAATAACAAAAACATCTCTATATTATCAACCCTGTGTTCAGCACAAATCCAGAACACAGCCCCATACCAGGCACTGTGAAGAAAATTAACTCTACCCCAGCCAAAATCAGCACACACATATCATTGAATTAGCAAGTACTGTATAGAAAACCAATAGGGAAGGATTATTTCTGAGTGTCTAAAAATACTCAGTCTTGCTTTAGTTTGCAAGTGGTGGGAACAAGAATCACACTGAAATATGGGAGGAGTTAGAGAGAAGGCATAGTCAGCAGATAGGTACATCTGTGAGTCCATTGTTGTGGTATTCTGAAGATGACATCTGCCTGAAATAGAATTTAAAATGTTGGCGGTTAAGTTGCTGTTGTTCTTACAGTGACTTCCTCAGCTGGGCAAGGAAGTGGGAGAACAGATTTATGTTCAGGAGCACAGAGCAACTCACCAGTGATTTGGAGGTGAAAAATAGTTTCTTTGATCGAGTGCTATTTCTTAGTTGATGAATATTTGGCTGAAACTTTTATGTTCATCTGCAAAGCTGTTTAAATAAGGGAAATCTGAGCTGATTTCTTACTTTTAACAAACTGTGTAAAACCACAGGTTAACCACATGGATAATACAGGCAAGGAAATGAGGCTCTATATACAGGGTTTGGTATACGGGGACATTTTGAAATAGGCGTGAACTGCATACGCTTTCATAACAACATATAACTAAAAAAAAAAGGTCTGCTAATCTCTCAGATGCATCATAAGATGTATCTGAGGTATTTTTCATTTAAGGTAAGAATGGGAAGAACAGTAAGAAAATAACCCACATTATTTTCAGTGTTTATCCCTAAAATAATTGTGCTGCCTCTCCAACCAATCCTGCCAGTATGTGGTGAAAAGAGTATGTGACACTTGGTTTCCACTATCTGACAAAGTGGCTTTTGAAAACAAAAGCTACCATTTTTGCATTATCTTCTCTCTATTCAGCAGAAGTAGAGAGGGTGAGAAATAACATTGCCATGCAATGCATTTCCTACAATGTGTAGGCAGTACGTTATCTGTTTTTCAGTAACAGTGTGCTGTTATAGATAAAGCAATGTGTTTTATTAGTTTCTAGTGCCAAACTGAAACGGAAAAAGAATTGGTTTGGAACAACTTTCTACACGGAATTAACTGCAGATGGAGAAATTAAGAAAACAGCAAAATCAAGTAGTTCTTCAAATCCCAAATGGGATGAGCAGCTGACAGTGTAAGTAGATTTTTTGGTTGTTTAATACCATTTATTAGACAGATGTTGCAGGCAAATATTTACTAAACTTGGATGCCTACATAGTTTGCTCTGGCTGTTGATGTCTAAATGCAGACATAAGATGATATTTGTCTCAAATGAATTTTTTTCCTCAATTCTTACAATGTTTTGAGAATATTTTTTGTACAGAGAGTATTACTTGCATACAGTTGCTGTACAGGCTTTAGTCTTGATATTTGTTAGCGCTGTGTTAGCACAACTTGCTAGAAAGAGTTACTAATTTAACCATGTAATTCTCAACTTGAAAGGGAAAAGAATCCCAGCTGGGTAAGTAGTAGTTATGAGGAAGTTAATTTCTTCCTCTGATGAGGAAGAAATATTAAGGGATATGCACTGAAAAACAGTTTACTGCAAAGTGACCTTGCAACTTTTCCTGATAGTTGACCTTTTTAATCTTCTTATGGTTTAGTTTGGTTTAACTGTGCTAGGGCTGTAGATATACCTAAATATGACACCGTGAAAAACTGGCAATCTTGCACTGTGCAATTGGCTAGAATGCTTTATTATAGAAGCAAGATTGTACTGGTTCAGACTTGGGTCTAGAAACAGGATAGCTACTATCAAGTGGCATTGAGCCTGGGCCGGTACGTATCACAGCACGTGAAGTGTCTATGTGCCAGCTTTGTTAGTAGTACAAGCCATGCTAGATTCTCATAACTAACAGTGCTAGAGAGGGAGGAGTGGTACAATCTACCGAACTTTGGGAAACTCCTTGCTTGGGAACACTTACTTATTTACTCCAGACCTGAGCTGAAGCAAGTAGGGTATTCATGTGCTGCATTTCTCAGTATATCAGGTTTAGTGAACTTATTAGCCCTTTGCGGTATTGCAAAAAAGAATAATACAGTACTGGACCTGACGATGATTTCCAGGAGTTATTACTAGAACAAGTACCGAGCTACCAGTATATTCACAGCAACCAGAGTTTTGCTTGAGGAAGCAGGTTTGATTTGCAGGATCTGGTGATCTGATAGAAGTGAGGTAATTTGTGATGCATAATACAACCAAGCAGACTTATTCCATCATCAGTATTACTTACTTAGGATCTTACCCTTATATGTATGTTTAAGGTATTCTGGCCACCTCTTCCTCTGGCTAGTGGAATGGTATTGTTGCTTCAGTTGCCCAGTCTGTTTGAGGATAAGTGAACTTAGCAAATTCTCCTCAATTCTGGGGGTCAGCAGTATATTTTCTCTGTGTAGGTGTTGTTTTTTTTTTTTTCTTTTCTTTGTTGAGCTGGTCTTGTAGTAAGATTTCCATTAGAGGGAGGCCTGTTCAAAACGCAAAAATATATTTGCTCATCTGTTTCAGCAAAAATGATCCACATTGTCCAACATGTTCAAGTGAATGTAGAGTTAGTCTTGTTGTTGGGAGGGTGGGGGTTGTTCTTATTGTTTTCATCAATACTGATATAACTTTCTGTATATATTAGATCAATACTGATGGATGTGCAGCCTTTGACTTTTTGCAGTAAAGTACTTCTACTCCCATTTTTCACAGCCCAGAGCACCCTTGCAGTACTAGACCCTGTACTGCAAAACTACTCTTCAGGACCTAGCATAGATTCCCATTTTCCTTCTTGAGCAGGGGAGAGATCAATGCCAAAGGTTATCATAATACTACTGTAATTGGGTCCTTTACCTCTCTGCTTCCCTCCAGTTTTTACTTTAGCTTCATCATTTGATTTTTCCCCTCTGATTTCTGTGAGTATGCCTTATGGTTTCATATATATTTGTGGATTCATAAAAGATGTTTTAAAAATACTTTCATGGCAAACTGACACCCATTAAGAGGGTTCTTCATGCTTGCAAGTAGCTGTTTGGTTCTTTTTTCCTTTTTAAAAAGTATTTAGTATTTTTCTTTTTAGGGACATAAAAATATACTTCCCACCTTTTTCTCCTTTAATAATGTGAGATTTTAGCTAGAACTCTGGAATAATGAGAAATATGGGAAAATATGCCTTTCATAAATAAAGATATGTTTTATATAACTGAGATTTGAGTTTAGTGTAGGTTATTCTGATACTTCTCAAATACTTTATGCTATTGTAGTAATGCACTTTAAGTTTGATCCTAAGTATAAATATCATAGCGTTTGTAGTTCTTAGTTAAAAATTTCCCCTTGCAATACGAAAACTTAGTTCATAAGTATCAGGAAATACAATGAGAAAGTGAATTAAGTTCAAATACTACTAATTACAAAAACGAATACTTTAAAATCTGTATATATTTTTTAAAAAAATGTATTTTATGTGCAGGAATGTGACTCCACAGACTACGCTGGAATTTAGAGTGTGGAGCCATCACACTTTAAAAGCAGATGCTTTATTAGGAAGAGCCACTGTAGACTTGAGACAAGCTTTGGAAATACACAATAGAAAATGTAAGTTGTCATGAAGGATATTTTTAATAAAGTAGAATTATTATTACTAATCTGTATATCAAACTGGAAACCAGACTACTAACTACACACGTAATTACAACTGACTTTCAGTTGATGTCTTTACTTGTCTCTTCTAGAGATGTCTGTGCTATTGAGAGCAATTTAAATGTAACAATGGGATATAATACTTTTGAAACAAACAGAGTATGAGTTACTGCAAATTAAGTAAAAGCAGAAGTAATTAAATACAGTGTTTTGTAGCAAACTAATAACTAATTTTCTAGAAGATCTGTTTCAGATTTGGTACCAAAAAAAGTTAAACCTTTAGAAAAGCCATGTAACTTTTCATATTTTCCTTTTCTGGAGTCACTAATAAAAAGGCTGGATATTTTCCCTCATAATTTAGCTGACCAGCAATCAGTATAAACCATTGATTAATGAAACAATTGAGAACTTCCTTTTAGTACATTAGAGATTGTTTGTTCTATGTAACTTCTAATTTTAAATGTCTTTAATAGAATTAAAACAGGTCTTCTAATTTACTTTTCAAAATTTTTTTCTTTAGTACAAGAAGATGGTGAATCCACACTTTAAATTCCACTCCAGAGTGGCAGTAGAATTCCAGCTAAACCAATCTTAACCTTTCTCACAAGTTAAACATACAAATCTGAGATCTCTGTTTAGGAAGGTGGGGGGAAAGGAGAGCCAAAAAAAAAAGCTTCATTTTTCTGATTCTCTCAGAAAATCTAAACAATCCAAAATTAAGTGGAGCTTCTTCAGTATTATAAAGATTCTGCACAAGATTAGATACTTAAGAAGAAAATTTGCTTTTTAAATAAGAAAAATGTATCAGAAAAAAACTGGTTTTTAATAATGCTAGCAAAAAAAAAAAAAAAGAGATTAATTAGTATTTTAACTGTTTCTAGCAAAATAGTTAGTTTTTTTACTGTAGATCCAGGGGAGGTAGGATCTAACAACTTGACAAATTCTTTCAGGGAATGGTTGACTGAGTTTGTTGCACATTGCACCAAAAGTAATTTATGTGCAGTGTTTCTGATTTTGGCAAGTCAGTAGTTTGACACATACTAGATTATCCAAGAAGTCAGTGGTAGAATAGTCTGATTCGTAGACTTCAGTCATTCAATTATTGATACCTAATCTAAAATGAAGCACTTGAAAGGATCTTTGCTCAAGAAGATGGAAAGGGGAAGTCCACTAAATGCAGAAATTAGAATTAGTGTGGTTACTTTCTCTGCTAAACACCACCAGTATTGAATTGCAGCCCACACACCTCACAGTTTTCTTACCAACTCAGTTGAACTACAGCCAACTCTTGATCTGTTTTAGGAAGATAACCTGTTAAAATAGCAGCAGTTAAACCAACCAGCCTTTGCCAAAGTTAGGATTCATAAATACGTTAATTTAACAACTCTGTGGTAGGCTAGTTTCTTCTTTCTCCTCTTTGACGTAGTACCATTTTCCAAAATGCACATTGCTAGATCAATAATTTGGTAGACTTGAGAGCTTTGTGCTTGTTCCAGAGATTTAAAGTCCTTTGAAATCCATTGTAATATAGCAGTGTGTGCTAGTAACTGCTGCCCAGCTACACTGTTGAACCTGCTCTTCAAAGTTACAGCTTGAAGGTATCTGGCAATAAGTTATGGTAGCCTTCCCTGTTTTCATGTTTACTGTTCAATTAGGATACACGTTAAGAGGAAAAAAATAAGGAAATGCTAGTTTAATGCACAGGAGTGCACAATGAGCTTTAACTTTAACTTGGAATGTTGTCATATGGAGGGAAATATTGTAGTATGTCTTAAAAAACTAATCTTTTAATCTGAGACCACAATTACTGAAAGGTCTTAACAATTTTAACCTGATTAATGTGAACTCATAGCTTACCATGTCGAATTTATGACATGTAGCTTAACCATTGTACTAGTAATAGTTGATTTAGAGAGAATTACGCAGCATCCACAGCATGTTTTACCTCTGGATTATTTCTGTCTCTCTGCAAATGTGACCATTGCTTGTCAGTCAGATTTAATTCTTTTATTGCACCATGTATCAATTATCTGAAAGTTTCTTTTGGTGAGAATAGTTTCTGATTTAATTTTTGGTTACCGGAGGCATCCTCTCTGTTACTGTTTAATCTTTGGAGTCACCATCTATGAAAATCCTAGTAAGGGTTTACTAAAAATAGCTTTAAAAAATCAGGAAGCACTCTATGCAGTCTTTGCATTTACTTCTTCCTCAAAAACATGTTCTCTTCAGTGGTCTTTTAGAATTAGTTTTGGAAGGTGATACAAGAATTGAACATAAGTTTTGGTTGTATAGTGAAGTTCCCAGTGACTTGTAATATTTGGATGTGTACTTCAGAAGTTGTTTGACTTTAAGCCATAACATGTTGTATTATTAGTGCATAATTTCAAAGGGGCTTAGTGGAAATAGCAAACCTGGGAAATCATTAACAAGAAAGTACTGAAACCACATGAATTCTATAGCATATTTATAGAATATACTATGTAAATGGTCAATTAATTTTTAAAATAAACTGTGTGTTCATCCACAGCAGATGTAAATGTACACAGCTCCATAGTGATTACTGTGTTGATTTGAATCGTCTGAATATATATTATAGAACTAAATACATGCATCACATTTGTGTTGAAAGTCTCTTTTAATATTAATGTGATTTAGAATTTAATATTTCCTTTATCCCTTCTCTCCTTCTCTTCCCCTACCCACCCCAACTCCATTTTTAGTGGAGAAGGTGAAGGAACAGTTGAAACTCTCTTTGGAAAACAAGAGTGGCATGGTGCAAACAGGTGAACTGACAGTTGTGCTAGATGGTTTGGTTGTTGAACAAGAATCTCTTACAAATCTCAGTTCATCAGCGACCAGTAAGTTAAAACAATTAAATCAAATGGTAATATTTGGATTAAGATTTCAAACAGATATAATAAAATATTTCTGTTGAATTTGTTTCTTACTGTTCAGTAGAAATTCAGCAAAATGGTGAAGCTGTGCATGAAAGCAGAGATGCTTCAGCAAGAAGTTCATCCAGGTTGGAATTTATTTTTGTGTTTTATGATATATGACGTATATTAGCAAATTTTTCAGTTGAAATGTTTGGATTGTTTGTGTTTCAATGTGGTTTTTTTGTTTGGTTGGGTTTTTGGTTTGTCGTTTTTTTGTTTGGTTGGGTTTCTTTTCATTTTTTTGAAGGCAATAGATTTTAACTGTTAAGGTCTAAGATATGTTGCCATAGGTTTTAGAAACATTACTTGTTTGATAATTACATAATTTAACTTGAGAAAATTAAATTGACACTTCTGTTCTTTGCTGTCAACTGATTGAAAATCTGTTGAATTCTGCAGAAGAAATTAGGGAGTGGTGGTTCATTGCGGTTTTATGTACTTATTCCATTTGTTTTCTTTTGTTGTTTAAGAACTGTTTCTACTAATGTCTACCATCTTGTTGCAATGTAGCATCTGAACGGAAGGAAAAGGAAAAAAAAGCCTGAATTACTTCCCCCTCACCCTTTTTAAGGTTTAAATCAGGAACTTGTTTAAGAGACTTGTTGACTTTCGCAAGCAGTATTCATAACACTGAGGCAAAGGCTTTGCCTGCTCCACCCTGAAGTGGCAAGAAAAAGACTTTGGGACCAATTTAGAACTTCGTTATTGTCTTCTCTGTTGTTATACCACCTCAAGGACTGTCTGGAGAGAAGTAGGAGTAGTTTTTTTGCTCCCTTACCACTAGTAAGACAAACAGGTCCATTTCAGAACAATTTAATGTTACTGCCCTGCTCAGGTACCCTACATGAGCCCCTTGCTGTGTAAGTTATTGACACCCGTTGGAGTGAAAAAACATACAGTTGCTATGCATTTTAGTGACAAGGACACATTTGTCCTTGTATGCTCGACTTGATTCTTTTTTTTCAATACATGGAGGTTTGTCTCTGTTCCCCGATGGGTGCCCGATATGAGGGAGTGAGGATAAAAAGCTGCTTATCCTTTGTTTTCATTAGAAAGGTTTGGGACTGCTACAAGTGATTTGAAATTCATCTGCATACCATTTTGAAACAGTAGTAACAATAATTTCTTTTCATTTAGCTGTTGTTGCTGGAGATAGGTCTTTTACTGGGATCCTGCTCTTGATGTTGATATTTTAATTTACAGTAGTTTTCAATACAACTATCCAACACTTTTGATTTACAGTTTTAAAATTAAGAGAGGAAGAAAAGTTTTAAGGTAGCTTCTCTGCATGTCTTTCGGAAGCTAAATTGGGTTTGTAGTACAGAGTTGAAAAGGGATAATACTTTAATTCTCTGTTTAAAAATACTACTGGTTTGGAGTTGGATAAGGTAGCATGGGAATGCTGCTTCTTCCCTTCTTAGTCTGCAAAGTTGGACTTCTAACTATTCTAACATTTTTGTCATCTGTTTAACTTTTCTTCACTACTTAGCCTCTATTCCTCGAGAAGATAGGGAGTTGGCACTGAGTGTAATTTTCACAATATGTATCTCTTGTGGGTGGCTTTAAGCATTCTGGAATAGATTCAAGTAAAAAAACAGTGTAATTGAACAAAACTCCATTCACAAGCCCTCAAATTGCATTTATTTCCGTGTGGCCTTCTAAACACAGAGCTGCCTGTGTGTATTTGTCATCATAATGTCCCATCCTGTCAATGACGAGCATAGAGAAGCTCATCTTATTTTCCTTTTACTGAGGGAGAATTTTGTTGCTTTCTTATGGTATAACTATTTTTAGTGATATGACTATCAAACCTAATTGTTCCTGTTGCTTAATGAGAGAAAAAGTTTTCTTGCTCATAGCTGCACCTTGGAAGAGTTCCTAAGGCCTTTTTGGAAGATGTGGCAGGTGCATCAGTCTGTTCAACTCAATTCCAGTATGTCATTACAAGTAAAAGAGGAAGTGAAAATGGCAAATCTTACCTATTATAAGTATCTAAAATACTCAAAACTAATTTTTGCCTTTTTCTTAATTGTTTTGGTCTTGCACTTGACTGTTACCCAGGCTGCAAAGAGCATTCCATAAACTGTTGTGATTTATGGACTACTGCCATTCCTTTATTTGTTTCTATAGCGTGATTTAGTGTAGGATTTGGTTTAGTTGCGTAACTGTTGTTTGTAATAACCTGAAATGATCTTTTATTTTTACCAAGATCGGCTTGTGACATTTCTAATGGGATAGACAATCAAGTACCTTCCAACTCTGTAGTACAGAATACATTCTGTATAGAAGCTGTTAATGGAGACAGCACACCATCTCCTACTCATGTTGCAGCCAGACCTAAAAATACACCAGTACCAAAACCACTTGAAGCTCAGCCTGTCAACAGCACTGGTAAGAAAGGGAGAGTTAAGAGAACATGTTCCGTAAGGCTTTTTTGTCTGATTGAAGTATACCTGGAGTTGGGCCACTTTTTCTGTACAATTTTTGTTGGATTTCAAAAATACTGAAAGGATGTTTTATGGCTAGAGTTTATAATCTTGTTTGTCCACTTTTGTAAATTTTTCTGCACTAACCTCATTCTGAAATGTATTGTGTTTCACAGTCTCCCATCAGTTCTTTTCTCTGATGAAGAAAGATTAAAGTGTCCAAAAACTTCCCTGTCTCTGTCCCAGATAACAAAAGCGTATTACTGATTGTCTGGAGGAAAAATAAGATTTCTTTGACAATTAATTTGAGTAACTGTAGTTAAATAACATAAATCTGATTTAGTCAGTGAACTGTTGTGCTCTGAGTCAAGATGTGTTGCAGGGTCTCCTTGCCTTCAGTTTTTTTTGAAAGATATGCTGCTTCAAAACATGTAGTGGCAAATACTGAATTTAATTTTCATCTTAAACACAAAAATGTTGATTCTGACTACAATTAACATTTAAAACAGTAAAACAAGTGAAAATAAAGTATTTTTAAATTTTTGTTCCTCTGGCAAAACTTTGCATCTAATAATGACTGTGCTTTCTAAGCACTTTGTCTTTTCTCAGCTGTTTGAGATTACAGTGATAGCAGAGAGAAAAGATAACCTTAAATAGAAATAGGCAAGCTGTTACTAAACAGTAGAACGGAGACTGTCAAACTTTCTGTAATAGAGTGGAAAATGTGAGTACAGTTGGAAGATAGCAGAAACAATTATGAACTTTAAAAGGTAATAATTAAATTAGACCTTCTCTGAAGCTTTTCTCTATTTGGAGAAGTTTAATTTGATTCCTCTCTCTTTTCAACTTGAGGCTAGAGGGCATATATATTATTTAGGCATTTCTCCCTTTTTCTTCAACAGTGGAGAGATCCATTTGAAATCTGTATGAGGATAGGATAATTGAAAAATAATTGGTTTGTTCAAATGGTAATGATATAATCATCACTGAGCTTGTACTGAGGCACTGATATAACATTTTTCAACTACTGTAGCAATTGGTGGAGATGTTTTTAAGGCAAGGCATAAAGCAGGTCTCCAGCATTTGTTGATGACACTTTTTTCTTTTCCCCACTGTTGTGCTTAGCAGGATTGTAATTTTATGTGATATTGCCAGAATTGCTGTTTTAGGCATAATTGGTGAGGTAATCACCTGATGTAATGTTTTATAGATCTGTTTTGGAGATCAACTTACTAATAGAGGAGATGATTTGTCAGTTATTTTGCTTCTAATTTTATTATGTAATTCTATTCACTCTTTAATGTAGATGAATTGAATTTTTTTTAACAAAAGCTGGAATTTCAGTTGGCTTTTTTCCTGTTTAAGTAAAGTTGTTGCTAGTTTAAGCAAAAGTTTGAGGAAATTGGATCAAATCGCTGGTGGTTATGATTTTTTTTTTTATGTCATGCTTTCCATTTGCTTGAAGTAATATAAAATCATGACAGGTCTTAATGTAGTTAATTTGTTTTCTGCCATCTGGAAGTAGTGATGTATTACCCTGGAATAGCTGTGCTGAAAAAGCAATGCCTTTAAAGATTTTACAAATTTTTTGCTGCCTGTAAAATCATGCTTATCATTATGCATATCAAGAAAATATATATGGTGCAGTGATAATTCCTTAAAGAAACTGATTCACTAATTTAAATTCATTCCTGCGGACAGTTTTATTGTTCGTAATTCTTTGACCTGCTTTTCTGACTGTCTGTGAAAGCAAAAAATTACTGCCATTATATACATATTGCAAGTAATAAATAGAATCTAGCTATTTTTTTATTTCTAAGAGTGTTATGCAGAATTAAAGCAAAGGAACTCTTTAAAATAATGGAAGAGCATTTTATAGACACTAGCGTAGGGTTAAATTTTGCAGATCTATATCATTAAGGTTATGAGTGTAGAGCAATTGTGTTGGCCTCAGTCCTTAGCATGGTAAGGTGATAATATGCTGTAAGGTAGAAAATTGTTTGAAGTCTATGTTGCATATTATCTTTAGTCCTGTAGAAGAATTATTCCAACTCCAAAACAGGTACAAACTGCTAAGTATAAATACGATTGTCACTGTATGATGTCAATTAGTGATACAGAAAATGAAAGTTGTGAATGATGTTGCACTGCTTTTTGTAGGGCCTTGACTTTTAGTGGGAGTCCTACAGACTGCCATACCTGATTTCACTTGTCTAAGACAAGATCTTGTTGTGCTGAGATACTGTTCTGTTAATCTCTGCAGATGATTGGTATTGATGTATTGTTGGCCAAGTGGTTTTGGGAATAATAAAACCTTCTTAGCACCCTCTGCCTGCTTGAAACCTTTTATGAGGTTATGCTTGCTTGAGTTGGATTACATTTGTATTGTTCTTTAAAAGGTAGAATTGATTTACTTTGTGACTCTGAAGTAATTTTCTTCAGTCATTGAGCTACATAAAATGTGTTAGCCAATAATAATTTTTATATTTTAATCCTGCTTTTGGAGGGAGATTTTTTCCAAGTTGCTCAGAGCTGTAGGGTTAATTGTACGGTTCTGTACGTCAACTGAAAAAGGAAAGAAATGATCCATAAGAAATGCCTCTTAGTTTTCCAAATCTCAGAGAGTAATCTCATAATATTTGGTTTTTGTGTCATACTGATCAAGATACTTTTTTGAACTTGATATAAGTGCAGAATTTCAAAACAAGCCAAACTGTTTTCTGGAAAGCAGATGAGTGCCTCTTGCTAATCAAGAGTAAAGTGTAACATTGAGTTGACCAAGATATGCAGGAACTAAGAAATTATTTTAACAGGGAAGTGTAGAGAATGGCTTGCAGACTGTAAGTTTTAACTGAAGGCAGATGCGTTGTGACTTTTTGTCGTCTTAGACAAAGTGCTGCTTGTGGCATTTAGGTACAACTAAAACATAGTCCTTCCAATTTCTTTACTCCAAAAGTTGGTAATTTGAAAAATAAATCTCATCAGATTCTGGTACACAAATGTTTTTTTTTCCTGTTTCTCAGTTAATGGCGAGTCATCCTCCTCTGCACCTGAAGCGGGTAATTCTTCTGTCTCTGAGGCTCCAGTGACTTCAGTCGAAGCTCCCATGTCTTCAGATTGCACTAACACTACAGTAGAACCTCAGTCAGCAACAGAAGCAACTAGTTCTGAAAGCCACACTTCTGCATTACCTGCTGTGTCTGCTGGACTAGAACCTACAGCTGCAACAGACTGTGCTCAGCCTAATGCTCGAAACAGTATAGCTGCAGATGCAGCAAAACCAAGGGAATCCTCCTCCACCTCAAGTGCATCTGCAGAACCTGTAAGACAGCAGCCTGGTAGTGCTAGTACAGAACCTTTGCCACCAGGGTATGTGATTTTGTTTTTAATGCTATAATTATGTTTCATCTGAATGTGAGTATAAAGAAACAGACACTTAATTCTACACTAGGAACCAATTCTATACTGGAATTGTCAAATGCAGGTCAGATGGCTGAGACAGGGTTATTTGATCTAAAATGGGATTTGTGCTGATGCTATAACTGGCTACTCTTGTCCCAGAAAGTAACAGCTGATAACTGGTTTGCTGAGATGGTATTGTGATCTCAGTAGACAAACTCTTGGGCATTATGGATGTGAAGACTTTTCATTTCATATATTCAAACTTATTTGGGCTGTAATTTGTTACTCTTTTATTACCTAAACTGTGAGAATGTTGTAGGAACCAAAACACAGAGAAGTGAAAATCATTAAACTAGTTTATAAATCCTCTTAGATGCTTCTTGTGTAAGGATAGCTAGAATATTTTAATTTTACTAGACTGTTAGAAACCTCTTCTATAGTCTTAAATACAAAATTAAAAATGAAAATATAGTACATACTCAAGTGTGTGTATATATATATATATATATAACTTAACATTTTTTTATAGATGCTTTCATGTTTGGGTGAAAAAATATCTTCAGTAACTAATTGGAAATACTGACATTTCCATAATATTGTAAATATTAACTATTTAGCATTTTATGATCCCAGAAATTGTTTCTTAACCCAGACTGTGTACACCTTGTGTCATTGTAGCTGATCTTTCAGAGAGCCTCTCGTGTACCTGCTCCCTGTGAAGAAGGTTCAGTAATTATTAGTGACACTTCACTTGAGTTTCTGCAGTTAGATAAACATGAAAACAAACATTTAAAAATATAGAAATATATTTTTATATATAAATTGTTGGGGAAGAGTTACCTTGTTTTTAACTTTCAGACGCTCTGACAATGGAAACTTTTTATAGGTGGGAACTCCTGTGGGTATCCCCCCTTCACACACTTTTTTTTTAATTAATTATATGCTTTCCCATTGAGGACAGGATCATGAGTTCCAGGCATGGTACACACTATGGCCAAATGCATTTTTTCATTGTTCCTCCCTGATCACGTTTCCATGTGTGTTTTTTTTTTGTGGTTCCCCATGCCCCTCTCCACTCCACCCCACGGCCGAATTGAGTCTCCATTATGTCTAGCCGTAGTAACTCTGTAAAATGGTGCTTCTCCTCTCCTCTCTTCTCTTCTTGAAATCTTAACATGTAACCTCTTAAACTGCAGAAAACATTTTGCAGGAGTTTTATAGGAAACACTGTAATAGTGAGGAAATGCACACCCAGACCAGTGAGAAGGAGGCAAGGTGTTCTGCCTGTGTTTTGAGGAACTAATTATGTATATATGTAAGAAAACCAAACATATATCATGTATCAACTGCAGATTTTTTATTGCATTATGGTAGTTCTCAGCATCATGAAACTGTAGTTCTTGATAATGTTTGGTCCTAGCTCCATCTTCAAGGTAAATTTGCTTTGCAAAACTTAAACAGAAGAAATAATCCCCAGGGATTACCAGGACAGGAAATAGAAACACAGGAAAACCATCTGATAGCACACACTTCAGGCTCACTCTGAAAGATGCTGTTGTTTGTTGGATATAGGGAACAGAGCTTCAAGATGTAAACTCCCTCTTTTTTTGAGAGAGGCATGAACTTGGAAATGCAAAGAATGCATCTCTAAGCACTTTTTGAATGAGGTTATTTTATCATCCAAGTATTGAGCAGGTAATTAATTACTTTGTTCTCAGATAGCTTAAATATAACTTGAAAATGCTTGTGAATATTGATGTATACTCATTTTATGTGCCAAGTTCTTTGAAGAAGTCTTTATGATGATATCAGTTCAATAGGAAGTAACTGATATATATTCTAGTGTGAATTTTCTTCAGAATTCTAGAAAGAATTTTGGATCCTGATATTTTCATTCAATACCAAGGTACTTTTTTGTCTTAATGGGATGTCCCAAGGAAGTATTTTCACCTTGATTTATGTGAAAGTCTCTTTGTCTTGAAGGTGGGAGCAAAGAAAGGATCCTCATGGTAGAACCTATTATGTTGATCACAACACACGAACTACAACGTGGGAAAGACCACAGCCCTTACCTCCTGGGTAATGTGGACATTTTTGAATTCAGTATGATAAATATACTATTTTTTTATTTGTTTGTTGCAGGACACAAACAGCAGCTCATGAAAACTGTATTGTGCATCATATAATAAGAAATTCTAACTTTCATTTAATGTGGAATTATATTAATTGTAGCTATTGTTATAGGAATGTTGGTACTGTATATGTCACTTGTTCTGATTACTTGTTCAAATTCAGCTACTAAAGTATTTTGTTCTTCCTTTAAAACTTAAACATAAAATAATGCACATATGACTACCTTTATTTAGGTGGTGCCACTAAGTGTAGTGCCCTGATTCCAAACCTCAGATTTCCCAGCAAAGTGTTTTCTGTGGAATCTGCCAACATTACTTGCAGTCACAGAAATTTACAAAGTTAAAAATGCAGTGACAGAGAGCTGGGCATGCTACTGCTTGAAGTATGTACTTTGTGTAGTTGTTCTTCTACCAATTAAGTTGGGGAGTACTTTTGTGACCTTTAGAAATTTAAATCATGCCTGTGATTCATTCAAGCACTGCCTAGGAATTTAAGCATAAAAAGAATATCAGCTAGTAACATTACTGAAAAATTTAGCTGTTAACATTTGCGTTTCCTGAAAGCTGGGAAAGAAGAGTTGATGATCGTGGGAGAGTTTACTATGTGGACCACAACACCAGAACGACAACATGGCAGCGACCAACAATGGAATCAGTCAGGAACTTTGAGCAGTGGCAATCTCAACGGAATCAACTGCAGGGAGCTATGCAACAATTCAACCAACGATACCTCTACTCGGTAACTTTTACATAAAATTTAGAAATTAGTAGAGAGGTATAGGTATACTTTTTGTTCTTTAACTTTAGAAAAAGTGATTTTATAACTATTCAACCAGATGTGTTATGAGACGTTCAGCATCAGTAATTCAGATTCTGATTCTTTTGAAAAATGCTAACAAAAATTGTCTACAAGGGCAGAAAGTACTCCCTTCTGAGTCTGTTCCCTAATGGAGTTTTATGTACTGCATTTTACTTAAGATTTTTCATTACAGTAATAAAAGGTAAAAATAAAGCAGTCCCTTAAACTGAAAAGGAACATAAAGGCTGAGTTATGGACATTTTGAACATTAAATGGCCTTCAAAACTCTTTTAATGATTAGGAGTCATTCAGTAATACAAGTGGCAATTCTTTTACTTTGAGCTTACTTTTGAAGCTTATGCGTCTGGTTCAGCTCTGGAATTTCTTACATGGTTTTCCATTTCTCTCAAATAGTTGCTCACTTCTGCCTGAAGAAAATATGAGTAGCTTCAAAGAGGATGTTTCTTGAGCCAGATTTTCCCATCTGTGATTGGATAAATAGGATAGTTGTTTTTTCAGGGTTAAGAATGATGGTGCCTGCATGTCACTGTCACTCTAAACAGTGCACTTTAACAATTGTGCTTGGCCTCTTAAAAAATGATCCAATCCCCGAGACTTTGTAAGTGATATGTAGTAAAGCTGGAGTGTTTTAAAGAAGAAACCATTGAAGTACAAGTCTAAAACAGTTTCATTGGAATAGGACTCTATGCACTTGCAGATCTAGCTTTGAATTTGATGGATTTTATTCACGTACACCTCTGAAGTAAAGGATGCTGCAGTATTCTTACATTTAAGAGTTCCCAGCCTCTCATTATCTAATTGGACATTGTATCTTGTCACTAGCAATAGCAGAAACATGCATCACCACTAATTAACTCCTGGAGCTCTGCATCAAAGTCAATTTGTCTTATGCAATTAGAGAAAGATAGAATGGTCAAGGCTGGAAGGGACCTCTGAATGTTATTTGGTCCAGTGTCCCTGCTCAGACAAGGGCACCTACAGCCAGCTGTCCAGGACTGTGTCCAGATGTCTTGTAAATATCTCCAAGGATAGAGACTCCACAGCCTCTCTGGAAACCTTTACCAGTGCTGTCACCCTCACAGTAAAAAGTGGTTCCAGATGTTCGGAGTGAACTTCTGTGTTTCAGTGTGTGCCCATTGCTTCTGGTCTTGCCACTGTACCCCAGTGAAAAAAGCCTGGCTCCATCCTTTTTGCACCCTCCTTCAGGTACTTATACGCATTGGTAACTTTCAATGCAAATCCGAGAATCACCTCTGGAACACATCCAGCCAAGAACTCTTCCTGACCAACTTTTTGTACTTGTGTACTACTTTGATCAGTTGCATAAAGAGAAAACTCCCGCTTTTCCTGATGCCAATATGGTTTTTTTTTGAGCTGGATTTATTCTTTTAGGGAACAATACATTTTTAAAATTAAATTATGTTTCTTCCTTCATTAAATGATAACTCTTACTGAAAACCACAGACTCATTTCTTAAAATGTTCCATCTGACCTTAGAATCATTAAATGAGGATTTGTTTGTGAGGCAGAATATACTTGAAGGAAGAGAAAAGATAATGTGACTGTTTGCATCTCTTTAGAATTCTGTTTTCTAAGTATTATATCAGTTGCATAGATAGAACTCACAGTTTGTTGGGGGGGAAAAAAATTGAAATTATATTTAAAAAAGTGTTTTTTACTTTAGCGTTTCTGTATACTTTTCTTCTAGAATAGTTAGGGTCAGACTCTAGCTAACTTTTCGTCCTCTGGTGACATATCAGGACTCTGCCTATATAGCAGTTTATGACTGAGATTGTATTTTATTTTTGGGGAAAAAGTAGATGAATATTTTCAGTGAGTAAGAGAATGTTTCAATCACCTTGAGTGGTTAAAGCTAAATTATGTAAAGGAAGAAGAGTAGATAGGCTGTAGTTATTTTAGTTACTTTCATTTTTACCTGGATTAATTTATTGTAGTCCTTTCAGTATTGAATCTGCCTCACCCCATGCCACTGCCTACTATTTCAGTGTGTTCTGTTAGATATACAGCTGTGTGTGGCCAGCAGCCACACACAAATCCTTGGGCCTATTAAGAAGGTTGGAAATCTCTAAATTGTACCACTGTTCAGTTATTTGGCATTTTGCTTTTGTGCACTGTTCTTTTTTTTATACTCACCACAGAGAAGTCTTTGGTTAGAGGGTCATTGTGATTGTGTAGTCTCAAAAGCAGAAAAGGTTAACTGAATTTGCTGCTGAGGTAATGATAATTCTCTGTTCACATGTAGTAGCTGGTGGCTGGAACAAATACGCAGCTTGATTTTGAGTGTAACTAATGCATTTCCTTCTGATCCTTGCTCTGTTTCTCTTTCACAGAAAAAATATCATAGATTTGTTTTGCCTGAATTTGCTGTTGTAAACCCCTAAGTGGATTTGACTTTTTGTACTGCAAATGCTATAAAGCAGTATTAGTAGCAAGGTGTTCCTAAGATACTCTTTGGTTCCCATATATCAAAATTCCATTCTGCACATACACATGAAAAAATTTTGTGTCTACAAAACTTTAGGGGTGGATGCTTTTATTTATAAATCAGAGCATGGATCCTACAGTCTGTGGGATTTCTGCCTTTTGGTTTTTTTCCCTATGGTTTGTATTTTTGGGAGCTACTGGGGGACTTCTACAAGGTTACAGTATATTATGAGCTTAGCGTGGTTTTACATAATAACCTAATCCGTTTTTTTCTTTTTTTTTTTCCTTTTAACCTTACCATATGTTAGTATAATTTTACCCATCAGCATATTTTAACAAATGCAGCCGCATTTTCAAAAAATGACAAAGTCTGAAAATAGCCAAACATCCAGAGAAGTCATCGTGTATTGAGGAAGCAAAACCCCTTATGTTGGCAGTATTCTCTGTGCTTGCAAATGTTTATTATGGTAAAACGTGTTCTTAAGCAACAGCATTGTGCTTATCTGCTGATACATGTTTCCGCAAACCTTCGATGAACTGTACCTCTTTGTGAGACCTTGCCTCTCAAGTTTGCTGTAGGAAGGGAAAGGGATACATTGAGTTGGAAACAGTGGAGGCAAGTGTGCAAATCATATCTTATCATATAATCTATGTTTCTTTGCAAAACCAGATTAAAAATTACATGATTTTTTTTTCCCAGAATGAATAGTTTGCAGAACTAGCAATAATTTTAAAACACTTTAAGAAAAAAATAGGAATAATATTTGGCCTAACAGAAAGTCCTCTTGTTTTTAAATAGGCTTCGATGTTGTCAGCAGAAAATGATCCACTTGGGCCTTTACCACCAGGTTGGGGTAAGTTAATTAGCTGTTGATTTCAGGAAGTGACAGTTACAGAAATTTGGAATGCAATTGTTTTATACTGGCTTTTTTCTTTTCTTTTTTTTTTTTTTCTCCCTTAGAAAGGAGAGTGGATTCAAATGATAGGGTGTATTTTGTAAATCATAACACAAAGACAACACAGTGGGAAGACCCTCGAACCCAAGGGTAGGTGTGTATATAAAAAAGATCATGCTTAATTCTTTTTTATCCTGATGTGGGAGAAACCTCACTGTCTGAAATTTCTTCTGCAGTTTACAAAATGAGGACCCTCTTCCAGAGGGCTGGGAAATCAGATATACCAGAGAAGGTGTCAGATACTTTGTTGATCATAATACAAGAACGACCACATTCAATGATCCTCGTACTGGGAAATCTTCTGTGTAAGTGAGAAACTAAATATATTTTTGAATGGTTTTACCTTGTTATAGTTTAATAGTGAAGTTTTCTCATACTATAAAACAATCTACAGCTTTAGCTGGAATTACACACAAAATTGTGAACAAATTCTTGTTATATAAATTTAATCTTTTTTTAAGCTTTAATTGTCAGTTTATTTATGACACCCTTTGCTGTACTGCTCTGATGTTCAATAGTTTTTATACACTTTTCGAATACCAAGATTATAATCATTTTATAAATAGGGAGGGGAAGTGGGGTAAGCTTGAATATTGAACTAATGGAAGTAACAGTTATACTTTTTAGAGAAACAACAAATGATCATTATGAATATTGCTTATAATTATACACACTCTAGCAACGAAATGTCTAAACAAAGTAGTACTGAATACTTCTTAAAAAGTTTGCATAAAAAACTTTAAATTAGTTTAGTTAGAAGTATTGACCCAACCTGTAGTGGCTGTCTTTATGTCTTTTATGTAGGGTAGGGCTTCTGATGACATGTTGATGACCTTTCATTCAAAGAACCTATAGTGTTGCACTAGAAAGTCCTTCATAGTTCCACAAGCAGCTGAATTTATGAAGCCTAACTTAGTTGTCTTTCTCTCAGTGAAGATGGTGTCTCTCCTTTAGGTGACTTGTAATTTTTACAAGTTTAATAGGGATTTGATATGCTCTTGAGCTCCAAGTTTCTCAATTTAGTAAATTGATTTACATCTTAAACCAAAAAAAAAAAAAAAAAAAAACCCAAACCAAAAAGGGGAAGGGGTGGTGGAAAGGACCCTTCCACCTTTGATGGTTTGGCATACCAAAGGTGTGGTTTTGGCATACCAAACCATCAGCTACATTTTGTTTCTGATTGCATCTTGCAATAAAAATCTTTGTGTATTTTTGATATCTACATGCTGTTGTTTAGCATTGAAAGTACTATTTGATATCTCTGTGGTTAATGTCTCTCAAATATATTTCCTTACAGAAATAAAGGGCCACAGATTGCTTACGAGCGTAGCTTTAGGTGGAAACTTGCTCATTTCCGTTACTTGTGTCAGGTACTGATTTAGTAATTATTTACTTATTGAAACTACATGAGTTTACATTTATATATACTGCCTTTTAATGTTATTGCCTTATGATTACAGTCCAATGCGCTGCCAAGTCATGTGAAAATCAATGTATCCAGACAGACTTTGTTTGAGGATTCCTTCCAGCAAGTAAGCCTGCAAAAATTACTGTGTTTGTTTATCAAGACAAAAATGCTCATAGCCAGTTCAGACTAATGGTCCTTTAGGCTTAGTAATCTTCCTCTGGTATTAGCCAGTGAGAAATTCTTCGGTAGGACTGTAAGAACAGAAGTATTGTATATAATATTTTTACCAAATGATCTTTCAGCTTCCAACTGTTTACAGTTGAAATGCCTCTCAAGCTTGATGTGGTTTCTGAGTATTTTAATAATTCTCAAGGGACTTCTCTTCAATGAGCTTGTCTGTGTTCCTCTTGTGAACTTTTTGCATCTACAGCTTCCTGTGGTAATGAGTTCCATAGCTTAACCACATTGCCTACTGTATCAGCCACATCAGATTTGCTTTTCTGATTCCTGTGTGTGGCTAGATACGTTACAATATGTTGCTTTCTCCAGTTAGAACTGGTGTTCTGCTTTGTCTTTCAAAGGTTAAATCTGTAATTGAAGCTTACAGTTCTTAATCTCTTACAGTCTGCAGCCAATGTATTATATTCCTCCTTTCTCTGTAACAATGGAAATTCTTGCTGCTGTCACCACATCAAAACCTTCTGGGAGGGATTCTATATAAGTAAAGAGCATATATTAATGAAAGCGTATTACACTTATTCTGGATTAAATTACTTCTTTAAGTGATTTGCCTAAAACCAAAAATCATATATATCAGATGAGGTGCCTTTTTGCCTATTTTCCTTTAATAATGACTGCCTTAGGAAGAGTGTAAGAACAGGACACCATATAGGAGTACTTTCCAGATATTCTCTCCCACTTGCTAGCAGTCTGTTGTTAAAGGATTTTAAGTCCAATTTGGTATTTTTGTGTGTAGTTCATTGATTGCATTTTCCATGAGATGGTCTAATTACTTGTCAAACCTGTGTAACATTTGTCATATATAGCATTTCTGTATCAAAATAAAATTAAATCTGAATGAGTGATGTAGTGACAATTCATAGTTTATAACTTATTAATTATTTTTGTGGGTTTTTTTTTAATAGATTATGGCATTAAAACCCTATGATTTGAGGAGAAGACTATATGTTATATTCAGAGGAGAAGAAGGATTGGATTATGGTGGCTTGGCAAGGTAAAAGAAATTTGTTTAAAATAATTTTTATTTTTTTTTAATAGCACTCTAACCTTGATTTCTCTTGCAGTCTGACCCTGGGTACCTTTTTAGTTCTCCTAAATGTATTAAGAAGGTGGAACTGGCAGCACTGTCTATTGTTATGGGTTATAACCTTGCATTGCTAAAACTGTGGTGTCAGTTGTTCAGTTCTTTGACAAAGATTGATGTAAAAATTGGATTTTTTTAATGCCAGTTAATTGCTCTGGACTGAGTTATTTCAGAAACTTTCTATCAGAAAGTTCCATTTTCCTAGAAGTAGGGACTGTGGAAAAATGTTCTGCTTATTTGGAAAAAAATAAGTGAACACCAGATTGGGGCTGTTATTAGTAGAAAGGGTATAAACAATAGGAGAGTAGTGCAGGCATGAAGTAAGAGCAGACAGACAATGTAGGCTCCACAGGAATGCAAACCAGTTGAACTGCTGGCTTTTCTAAGATCTGAAGTGGAACTCAGAGGGAAAAATCTGATAACAAGAAAACCGTAGACAAAGTATGTTTCATCTCTTGACCACATAGAATACAACCACTCACTACTGCTGCCAGTTACTTTCAGACTGAAATGATACTTTTAGGATGAAAATTTCAGTACTACTGTAGATGCAGGGAATTGGAAGTGGTTATAGATGATAGAATTTTTCCTGTTAGGTTGGGATTTTTTAATGTAAAGGTGTTCTGTTTTGGTTTTGTTCTGGTTTTATGTAGCTCACTGTGTTAAAATGAAATTCAGTGAAAATATATAATATTTATAAAAGGAAGCTTGCCTCTGAAGGTTTAGCTTCTTTGGATATGTGAGGTGTTATGCTTCTGAATTACAGTATCTGATAGGCTTTTTGGAAGTGACTGCAGGGAGGAATTCAGTTTTTGCTTTACGTGGGTTTTGTTTGGTTGGTGTCCCTACTATGATGTCCCTAGGCATAGGATGGGAACCGGGCGAGTTCAAGTAGTCTGTTCCATAGAAACTAAGTATTCCAAAGAAGTGATGTTAAAATAATTTAACCAAAGTATGTTAGTCACAGAAAGTAGCAGAATAAATAGATAAATAACAAATACATAAGTAGTATAGTTTCATAGTTAGTTAAGTCTTGCCCAAGATTTTTTATGTGGTACTGAGAAGCAGCAAGGATCTCATTGTGACTTGAGCTGAGAATTTTTAAATGACACTGAGTAAATGTTCATGTACTGACTACTACTGCATTAATACAAATATAAAAAGCTGATGCCCTGATTTATCAGCTGTCTTGCAGCAGGCTAGACTCAGTGCTCCCTTCAGACTTTACCTTGCATTTAGGAGGACCAATCTGACACTGTGTCTTGTGGCAAGTTTTAGCTGTTGATGTGAAAAATTCTTTGCTTCTCCAAACTTTTTGTTGATGACTGATTTATTTAATTCCTCCCTTGTTATCTGACTTTGTTCTAATTTAAATGCCTATTAAATTTTACACTTTTATATAGTTAATATAATTGTCTTAGTATAAAACTTGCACGGAATGCTGTACAACATTCTCATACTTATTGAAAGATACACAGAACCCTGTTAGGGTTATCATATCCTGGCTGCCTTTCTCTGTTTACTCTTTCTTCTTAGCCTTTGAGTTGGAAATGTATCATAGCAAATCATGATCCATGACTTGAGTTTCATAGAACTGTTAGGAGAAACTTTCCAGCAAATCTCATTTCTATTCCCTAATCTCAAGTAAATACAGGAGTAGAAAAGATGCCTTTCAAATGTGACAGCTGAAAGGTAGTTAGAATGGAATTCATTCCCTGCAATTATTATAGGATAGACTTCTAGCTTTTTTTATAGGTTTTCCCTAAGCCTGGCTGTTTAGTACTGAACACTTAGTGCCTGATACAAAAATTCCTGAGAATATATGACTGCTTCTGAGATCTCTGATTACATATAAATATTATAAAGCAACAAATATAAAAATCAGCTATCTGAACTCTAAATACCAGATTCTGGTATTATTTCAGATTAGCTGAGCTGGAAACTGTTAAAGTGGCGAATAACATGTATTCATTTAATCTCAACAAAGACATTTTCACACTGTTGTGTTCTGCAGGCTTAACTAATGCATGGTAATTTGTTAAACCACAGTAACTCAGTGTCAGATTGGGAAACCAAATAAGGTGTACTGAGGTTTAGGCTTATTTGTTTTGTTTTGTTTGATCTAAATTGTTTATAATAAGCTTGGAATAATCTGTGATTTTTTTGAATAAAAATTTGAGTTGTAGACAGTAAAGCAGGCATGAGGAGGATAAATGCTGTGTACTGGTTGAGGCGAGGACTGTAAGAAAAAGTATTACTAATAGGCATCTAAAACCTGTTCTCTGAGAGTGTGTTCAAGGTGACAGCCTATCATTTCTAAACTTTGAAACCCATGATTTTCTAACATTATTGTTCTTGATAATGAATTTTTTATATTTAAGAAGTATATAATACCACATATTATTCTGTGATTCTAATACAACACTGTTTATATTATTTTTGAAAGTTTGCATATATTTTGACCATTTTGCTAGTTACCTAAGGGGAATGATGATAAACATCTGTATTTGATGGTTTTTATGTGTATACATGTTTTTTTTTCCTTAGAGAATGGTTTTTCTTGCTTTCCCATGAAGTACTGAACCCTATGTACTGCCTATTTGAGTATGCTGGCAAGAGCAACTATTGCCTGCAGATAAATCCAGCATCAACAATCAATCCTGACCATCTTTCATATTTCTGTTTCATTGGGCGCTTTATTGCCATGGTAGGTTAGATTTTTAAGGTTTTATATTTGCTGTAGCTATACATTTATTCCTGAATAGTATTTGTTTTTACAGTTATTAAAGGTTATATTAATCTCTCAGAAATGGAAGATTAAAAGCATATAAGGTTATTGAGCCAAAATATTCCCTGAGAGTTAAGTCTCTTATGCATTTATGTCTCCTGGGAGAGTGATGAAAATTAATATGACATTCAATATAATATTTTATTTTCATCAATTGGATGTGTGTGCTTCATGCAAACCACTGTTTGATTGAGTGTCTGAATACTGATGCTCTGAAAAATGTGACTAGTATTTTGTGAAAAAGGCTCCTCAGTTAGACTTGGTATACCTTACTGTATTTGAAAAAATTAGAATGCAGAGTACACTGAGCCTTTTTTTAAATGTACATGCTTGGAAACAAAAGTCAAATACTGAGGAGAACAGAAGCTGTTAGGGAGCTGGTTCTCTGCCATCTAGTCTTGTAAATTAGAAGTTGGGGAGGCATGTTGTGTCACTTCTGGTGTCACTGTGTCGGTTTTCTATAGTGACTCTTGTTCTGTTACATTTCTTTCTTTCCATGTAGTGATACAGTCATCTTTCCACATAATCATCATGTCTACAGGTAGTCCTCAGCTACCTCAACATCCCTGAACATGGTGAATAGTGAAACCAAAAAGAGTAGATAAAAGTACATTTTCATATTGAAGAGAATGTTGTCTTTTTTGTTCAGTCTTTTTGTATGAAATTAGAATAAATACAAGCCAAGTGTAACATAAATGAAAAAATATTATCAGACTTATAATAATTTAGGTTTGGGCTGTTTCTTGGTTTTGCTTTTCTTATAGATGCTTTCTGAGATATTTATTCAGTTTTGACAGTAACACCTCTGCTTCCAAGAATTTTATGGCTGAGTTCACCATTTCTGTGCTGTCATGACAATTTATCTCTTTGGGTTAATGCTTTCAATCGGCTGCCAACTTTTTTCTTACTTTTAGAACCCTCAGCAAGTTAGAATGCCATTTAGCAGGAATATGTGATATAGCCAGTTAGGTGCTAGAGCCAGATTTTGTTTCTTTTAGTTGGTGATTTTTGATCTTGTGTGTAAGATAAATCCATACTTGAAATGTTAACTTTAGGAAAACTAATTCATAACAATACAAATCATAGTAGAGAATTTAATTAAACTAATTAGTGGAATTAAAAGACAAACTTTTATTTCCTGAAGTATATATGTGCTTGCATTTTAAATTCTCTCAGCTGGACAAGAGAGAGAGCTGTGGAATGCTGCCTAATGTGGTCTGTTTCAAGGTTTGAGTGTAGTCATGGTTTATACTAGATGCTACTTTCTGCAGTGCTTCCTGGGATACCCTCCAGTGGCTTAAAATAGCTCAGGTAGTAATGTAACTGAGAACCATTTTAAGGAGTCTAGATAGGCTTTTTAGGTGCAGTTGCAGTTTCTGACCTTCTCATAGTTCTAAAATAGTTGTAACTTCTTTTAGTTTTACGTACTGAAGTCACCACAGAGGTTTTCAACTGAAACAGGATTAAACACAAAGAATACACATCTTACTCTGTAACAAAAACCTGTTAAATGAAGTTGGCTGAGGCACCTTTTATATTTTGCTGTTATCATACACATTAAATGAGATGATTTTAAGAGCTTACCTTTGCAAAAATGAGCAAATCATATGCCTAGATGCTGCACTTGACATTGAATTTTTCAGTTTCTATCAGCTCACTCTACTGTAAGACGTAGAGACTAGTTTATAAATAAATAAATAGATAAATAAACAAATAAATAAAGACCTCCGAGAGAGCCTCTTTAAGTTCTCCTAAAGCAGAAGAAAATGCATGGTAGACTAAGCCTTAGGGGGGAAATAAGATCAGGAAAAAAGATGGAGCCTAGAGGAAATGGGCTGTTAATTGGCTCTTCTGCTCATAGAATTTCAGCTGTGAGGAAAGAGGAACAATGAATGCCATCCATGGCCTATGTTTAGGATGATAGCTGTGCTCCATTAGCTCTCAGATGCACTGAGTCAGTGTAGAGGTTACCACTGCGTGTGTGTGTATGTGTGTGTGTGTGTAGTGCTGTGCTTCAGTAGTAGAAATTAACTTATACCTATGTGCATGTGTGATGAGACAAGTGTGACCATGTTTTGGGTTGTTTTTTTTCAGTTTCATGGAGAACCTAATTTCTCAGTTCTGTTACTCACCTATAAAAAATGTGGTTCCCAGAGCTCTTTCTTACAAGCTGCAGTAGCATTCTGTAAAGGATGATTTTGCTGGATGTATGTATGTAGTAAAAAATGGCAGTAGTACCAAGTAGAATCAAATATTATGATCAGGTAGGATTAAATAACACTTGGCAATTATGCTTATTCACATAATAAAGTGAAGAAAGGATGAAATCCTTTTATGAGAAGGGTTTTTTTTAATCAAAGAATTTCTAAATTGTAATAACATATGCTTGGATAAATTTTGTCAAATATTTTTTTTGCTTCCCATTTAATGTAATGTTTTGTACTTTTTAAATACCAAACTGCTACTGCTATTTGGTGCTTTGTGTTATTTGAAGGAGAAAGGAAAAAAAGACTTCAAGTCCAGAAACACTTCAATAAAAGTTCAATAGAAGCTAAACAGACTTTTTCTGTTCAACAGGCATTGTTTCATGGGAAATTTATTGACACTGGTTTTTCTCTGCCTTTCTACAAACGAATGCTGAGCAAAAAACTTACTATTAAGGATCTAGAATCTATTGATACTGAATTTTACAACTCCCTAATTTGGATAAGGTTTGTAGTTTATTTTTTGTGTGTGTGATATTTTATGGATTTTTTCGTTTATATAAAATTTATTGCACTATTTTTTTTTCTTTTTATCCAGGGATAATAACATCGAAGAGTGTAACTTGGAAATGTACTTTTGTGTCGATATGGAGCTCTTAGGAAAAGTAACCTCTCATGAGCTGAAATCAGGAGGTTCAAATATCTTGGTAACTGAGGAGAACAAAGAAGAATATATTGGGTAGGAAGATGTAGATGCTGAAAAAAAGTGTTCCATGTTTCTGCTGTTGCTCTAGTCTTTTTTGACACAATGTTGCTTTTGTTTTTTTCCTTCCCATGTTACTATGTAATTCTTGTGACTGTTATTGAAACAGTATTTTGGTACATGTTGCTTTCTTGATACATATGATCTGTTAGTACAAAAAGAGACCATGTGGAGAGAAGATGACCTGTGATGCTCTTAGATGTACAATGAGAGAACAGGTCAAACTGAAAATGAGCAAGCCTGTTTTTGGTAACTGCAGGTGACAAATCCAGGTGGAGGGAAAGACATGTATTTGACAGAAGATTCTAAAATCATTCAGAACTTTGCTGTCAGTGTGGCAACCGAAATTCAGAATGGTGTATTTCCTAATTTTATCACTGTCTTTCTTTTTTGGAACATATGTTTCTGATCCATCTATTCAGTGATCTGAAAAGCAGGTGTACACAGATCCTTTTCTGTGATTCAGTGTATGTCCAGTGCTGCTCATAAAGTTTCCACTTAAATTAGTGGTCTTTAGTTTGTCAGAGAAATAGTTTGTATATATATAAAAATATATTTCTTGTCTTATTTTTAAATTTTTTTTATTATTATTATTCAGAAGTGGCTTGATCATTTTAGTTGAAACTTTGAACACATTACCTCTTCCTCCAAATCTTAGTGTCAATGAGCTCAGAACAGAAAATTACTTCTGTTTGTTGAAGCTGGAAGTAGTCTTATGCTAGAAGTATTGGGCAATGATAGTTTTAAGTATTATAAGAAACAGTATTTCTTACTATTCTCTGCTTACATGGTGTTTTTTGTAAGAGAATATTTGAAAATCCATGGAAATTTTTCTTTTCTACCATTGAAATACTAGGATTATGCATTTTTTAAGCTAAATCAAAATTTTTTCATAACAAAGTCATAATGCCCAAGTAGCATTATTTTAATGAAAAGGCTGCTGAATTAATGAAAGGTTAATAATAATTTTCTTTTTTTTCTAAACTGGAACAGTAATCTAAGTACATCTTGCTACTTTCATTGTTATCTGAGTTTGGAGATTTGTGATAACATTAGTATGTTAGGTTCTTTATAGTTAATGGAATCATACAGTGTAAGAAGTAAAATTTGAGGGAGTGTTACCTCGTGGGAACACACACACAATCATGTTTGGACTTCACCTTGAATGCTGATTGATGTTTAATTCACCTTTGATTTTGTTCCATCCCAGGCTAATGGCAGAGTGGCGATTTTCTCGGGGAGTTAGAGAACAAACCAAAGCTTTTCTTGATGGTTTTAATGAAGTAGTTCCTCTACAGTGGTTACACTATTTTGACGAAAAGGAACTGGAGGTGAGGTTTTCTGTTCAACATTTTTACCTTTTGCAAAGGTAATACATATGGATTGACTAAACGGATAGGTCAGCTTAATTCTCTCTCTGTGCATGCTGCATTTGGTGGATTCTGGAACATGGAGAACTTAATAGGAGCATTGGGATTAAATCATGATGAAAAGCCATTACTATTGAATCAATGTTTTGTGAGATCACTGATGCATCTGTTAAGTCACAGAAAACCTTTCCCTCTGTGGTAGATGGGTAGAATCACCGCGTAACAGATGACACAGAACTTGATTCTGGTGTATAACGATCGCTTAGTATCACATACAGAATTTAGGATAGGTTCTGGGGTTCTTACGTTTAAGGACAGAAAAGTGGAGGAACCAACAAGGTTTGAAACTGAAATTTGCAGATCCTCAGGATGTAGCCATAGGGCTGATAACAGGAATTACTTGCATGCACCATGTTTACTTAGCAATCGACCTGGCCTGTGTTCACTCTTGAGGTTGTGATTTGGAGCAGGGACAAAAGGGTCTGTACTGCTGTGCTTATTTATTTCTGTGAGACCTGCCAAGGTTCCCTGTATATAATCAGCAGTTTTCTGAAAGCTTCCCAAGTGAAATGGGAGGCCTTTTCTGAGAAAGGACTTTGATCAATCTTATTTAGCATTGAGTTTTATAGGAGGCTTTGCCTTTAGAACTTTCAGTTTTCCTTGTCTCTTGTAATGAATACTTTTGCAGTGTGTTTTATCTTTACTAGTAGTAGCAGTAGCAGCATTGTAATCACCATCATCTTGGAATATAAGGCAAAGTTTTAATGAGAGGGGAAATATCCTCTTCAATATAAAAATTACTTTTAAGGGGAAGGTAATATCTTTTATTAATGAATTATTAGTTGGAAGATACCAAGTTTCTGGTATTCAGTCTTTCAGACCACTTAAATACATAAACAAATTTGGAGAAGTTCTCTAAACTTAGGATAAAGAAAAACCTAACTGTGGAGTAAAATGAAAAAATTACCAGTCCTTTTTTCAAAGCAAGAACTTCCATTTTTGTTACCATGTTTCATACAAGATAGAAAATACTCTTAATTTATGTGTTTAATGTGAAGTAATCATTCTCTTTTCTAGGTTATGCTCTGTGGTATGCAAGAAGTTGATTTAGCAGACTGGCAGAGGAACACTGTTTATCGTCATTATACAAGGAATAGCAAGCAGATCATATGGTTCTGGCAGGTGTGTTGAGCAGTAAAATTTCTGACTTCTTTGTTTTGTTCTGTAACACAAATGACGTGGAGAGGAGGGATGCCATCCAAATGAGGGTTCTTAGGGCTTCCTTTCTTTTTTCTTTTCAGAGAAGGAAAGGAGGATTACTGGTCTTTAGGGAGCATACTTTAGGGTGAGAAATGGCAGATAGATATATACATTACATTTTAGATGCTGGGTCATGGATATTTTTTCTGTATCTTGTCCTTGCTGATAATACAATGAGTTTTTTGTATTCTTAACAGTGATCTACCTTCTAAATGTTCCTATGTGTAGTTGACCTGTACATCTTCACCTTCTAGTATGTGAAGGGAGCCTACAAGAAAGACAGAAAGGGACTTTTACAAGAGTATGTAGTGACACGACAAGGGGCAATGGATTCAAACTTAAAGAGGGTAGGTTTAGATTAGGAATTTCTTTGCTGTGAGCCTGGTGAGGCACTGGGACAGCTTGTCCAGAGAAGCTGTGGATGCCCCATTCCTGCAGGTGTTCAAGGCCAGGCTGAATGGAGCTCTGAGCAACCTGGTCTAATGGAAGGTTCCCTGCTCATGGCAGGGGAGTTGGAACTGGATGACCTTTAAGATCCCTTCCAACTAAAACCATTCTATGATTTGATGATCTAAAATGCTGCATATTATTTATAATTATTGTCATATTAACTATTTTGGTCTAGCACTGACTAATTATAACTAATTTTAATGAAGTTGGCCAAGGAAAAACACTCCAAAATGCTATTCAGGCTCACAGTTTCTATGAAGTTTTCTAAAGAGAAGTCAGAGCCAGGCAGTTTCTATCTTGTGATAAATCACCGTTTTAGAGATGCTTTTGACTAAGTTGCTATAGGAAAATGATGCAAATCAATTACTTCCTAGCTTGTTTATATTGTAAGATCTGATATCTCTCTTTAAATTATTGATACTGAAAGGATCTTAACCAGAAGTTTAAGTAACTTGGATATGATATCAACATTTATATGCAAGTTTTTCTGAGTCAAAATTTTAGGTGTATCAATGCCTCCTCTCTTACTGACATGTTCTCTGTGTCCCCTCTCTTCTTCTTCTCCCCTTCCCTGTGAATTCCTGTACAAAGTGATGCAGCTGTTATGGATGGGTTTTCTCTGAGACTTCCACACGCATGGAATATTTCAGTCTTGAAATACCCAGAGCCTATGGTTAGGCTAGTGCTGTGTTTAATCAAAATGGCAGTAGCCTTCATATAAAACATTGGCATAATTTATATTTTAGTGTAGAATAAAATAGATAAGGAGTCTTTTTTTTGCTGTTCCCAGGCTTCACATTTTAATGTTCGACACTGTTGACACTGCATATAATCTGAAATCACTGTCTTCCCTCTCCAACCAATTTTGCTAAAATCAAGAAATGCAAACTATTGCCAAGGTGGTGTATTTTTAAATGGAACTATACTTTTTCAACCACCTTGTGGGGTTTTTGTTTTTCTCCAGCTAAAGATTTTTATTAAGTAATTTGAATTTCTGTGCCTAGTTTGTAAAAGAAACAGACAACGAGGTTCGCATGCGGCTTCTGCAGTTTGTCACTGGCACTTGCAGATTACCACTGGGTGGATTTGCTGAACTTATGGGTAAGTAAAAGGGGACCAAAACTGTTGTTATACTGTAACTGTTTCCTTTGCAAATGAACCATCCTGCAATCGTACAGATAACAGGAACTTCAGGTTTATCACCTTGGATCTAGAAGGGCTTTCTATGTCAGAAATCCCATGAATATATTTATAAACTATTTGGAAATTGGCTCATTTGTATGAGAAGCATGTTCATACTCATGTAATGATGAGTAGCACCTCATGAGCTCTGTCTGGTGTATCTGAGTTGTGTCTTATGTCATGTATATATCAAGTGTGCTACTTAAAAGGAACAGATTACACTTTTAAAATCTTCTTTTCTAGGAAGTAATGGTCCTCAGAAATTCTGCATTGAAAAAGTTGGTAAGGAAACCTGGTTACCAAGAAGTCACACTTGGTGAGTTTTTACATGTAAACTTCCTGTGCCTTTAGTGGTTCTCTCTTCTGGTCTTGCACTGACCAAGTCAAATGAAATCTAATTTGAATCAATTCTGTCTCCATCTTCAGCTTCATTTCATTGCCCTGACATGCCAGTATTGAAAACTTTTCTAGTTGCCCTATTCTTAAATTTAGCTACTGGGCTGAACACAGTTTGTCAGTATCTATCAAAAGTATGAGAATATCCTTCATGCATAGGACTAAGAGATGTTTCCCTAATTCTTTATTTTAGAGAATATTAAATACCTAAACAAGTCTTGTTAGTATTAGGCACATTCAGTAATTGGATACAGTTATTATGCAGTAACATTATAAAAGATAAAATGTATAGTCATGAGAAGAAGCAGCGTGAAAGAAATCACAGCAAATACCCGAAACAAGGATGCTTAGCCAAGAATGCTGATACTTTTTCCCACCTAGGCTTCAGATGGGCCAATATTGGCTTGGCATTCCTGTCCCAAACCGGTGCCAACAGGTACACAGATCAGTTTCTCATATATACTGTGTGCAAAATGGACACACTTTCCTTTGGCAATAATATTTGTCGTACTTTTAAACCACTTTAGGGTATTCTCCATTTCACATTTTCTCTACTAGATTTTTTTAAGTGATGTTTGCAAGAGTTAAACATCTCTCTTTATCTGTGATAATTTGGGGGAAGACATGGAATGAAACAGTTTTGGCAGAAGCCTTTTAGGGCAAAGTTTAGGGGGAAAAACCTATGTCCAGGCATATGTAGGAGGGAGCCAAGTTCAGCTTGTTCATACTGTTGTTAAAATTTGGAGATGCATTGAACTAGGATTATATTAAACTTCATGCTGAAAATTTCCTTTTCATTTTCTAAGTATTATAGGGTTTTTTCTAAGTATTATGATTATATTTTTTGCTAAGTATTATAGTTCTCTGAATCTTGGGCTGTCTTCGGTCTTCAAAGGTTTGGGTTTTTATCTGGTAACAGTCTTTTATTTCTTTAAGTATTTGTCTTTATCTGGTTTTACTGCTTGTAGAAATGTCAAGGCAGTGAGATTGTGCTGATTGTTATTTGTTTCTAATTGTTAGATCAGAACATTTGTAACTTCTACTATAGCAGTCAAGTTCTGTAGACTTCTACATGGGATTTAGATAAAGTTAACAAAATTTTATGTTTTTTCTGCTCAGTTTTAATCGTTTGGATTTGCCACCATATAAAAGCTATGAACAACTAAAAGAGAAGTTGCTTTTTGCCATTGAAGAAACAGAGGGATTTGGTCAAGAGTAGAAGCAGCTTCTAGTCAAAATGGATATCTTGCATAATAAAAGGCCCAGCCAACTAAAATTGCACACTTAATTGTATATAAGCTTTTTGTTCTGTACAGTGATCTTTCTGGAACTCTAAAAGTTTAATTGTTCTCTGTTCTTCCACAAATATATGCAAAACAGTTCAGCCTTTTCTACTTTTATTTATTGCCCTCCCAAAAGACCAGAAAAACCCCTCCATAAATTTTGAAAGCAGACAAGAGACTTATTTAAAATATATATATAAAAAATATAAATATATATACTAATGGGCTCTAGTTTTATAGAGCTTTAAGGGTATGAAAAGTTGCAGCCATTTAAAAGGGCCTGGATTTGCTTTATCTTGGCTTTATCATTCAGAAAAATGTTTAAACTGCTCTGTGTTCTCTTAAGAAACATCTCCAAGTTTGTTTTATTGCATGGCTATTCTAAAAGGTGTTAAAGGCTTAGGCCAAACGTATCCTAAATATATAGAAAGATGCTGCTGGTATTTGAGATGACAGAATCTGTTCTTCTGTCAGTTTAATTTTTTTAATACCTAAATAGCTGATATATCCCTCTCTACTGATGTAGCCAAGGTCATGAATAAAGCCTTTACTACTTGCACAAGAGTCATGTACAATAAGATGAATGTGATTTAATGTTGAAAGGAGTTGGTGCCACTGTTCTGACTTATTGGAGGAGCTGAACAGAGTATTTTAATTCATTTGAGCAGCATTGAAATTTGTTTACATAGTACCTTGGGTTATTACCATGAGGATGTTAGGTAATCTTCAAAGAAAAAATAATAATAAAAGAGAAAATATTACCCATTCTCTTCCTGGTCTGGTGTCTTACAGGTTTCTTTTTTCTTTTTTTTTTCCTGTTTTGGTTTCCCTTTTCAATCCATGATGTCCTTTTTGTAACTTTGTAGAGTTATATTAATGTAAACTGAGCTATAAGGGTATACAAAAGGTATACAAAAGGTAATGTGAATTTTGCTGCTTTCTGTGTTCATGTTCAGTTTCAGTTACTGGATCTAGTAAACCCAAATAAAATGAAAGTTACTTAAGATTTGCACAGGTAAAAATATTATTTAGTATTAAATTCTCTCATTCCTCTAAAGTTCTTACAGAAATTTAGACGTACTTGAATTAAGTATGTCTAAAACTTGTCATTCTTTTAGGTAGGTCAAGATTGTCCTAAGTGCACAGTAAAATAAAAGCATTTTAAAATTAGTTTTATTGGCATTGAGGGCATTTGCTGAACTGCAAAGATATGTTTAAAAATATTAAAATTTAACACCTTATTCATGTGATTTATATTAAATGCTACTTTTAGCAAACTGTGCTTCCTTATTATAGAGTAAAAACGTGTTTGAAATCACCATTTGTATTATGCTTTAAATATTAGCTGTAAATTCCATTACATTTAAATTATACAGAATTTTGTATACACATGAAAATGATTTTAGAATATGATTAAACACGTTTGTGTAACATATCATATTGCACTGTTAAAAGTGTACATGCGAAAAAATAGCTGTATCTGTTCATGTATCTTTCCAATACAGCAACTGAATTCTGCCAAAATTTTATTTTTCTACATATTGGATTGTCTCGAGGCTTTCTATTCAATATTCACATCTTAAAGTGGAGCTGTTAATCTGTGCATAGCTCTGGTCATACTGGTAGTGCAATGGGCCCAACAGACTGCCTATTTACATGAACTTTTCTGTAAGAGCTTCAAGAATTTCAACCACCTTGAGGGTTTTTCATACAACACCAAAATATCTTTTACAAAACCACTTTCATGTAGCACTACATCAGTTTCAAGTGCAAGTCCACTTTAATTATTACTTACACTTGTTAGAATAGAGGAAGTTTAAAAAAAAGTCTAAAACCACAAGTGTGTGCGACTTGCCTAAAAGACAATGAGGAAAGCTAAATGTCACAGTTAAACTTTATGAATCTGCACTAATGAATGACTTAATGGCCCTCTACCAACTGCTGAATTTTGTGAATCTCTGAGTAACTGAACAAAATAATAATAATAAAGACAGCACATCACAAGAATGTAGTTGCTTTATTGTTTTGATAACTTTAGCTGTCTCACAAATGCAGTAGTTTTTCCTGTGGGTAAGGGTTAGTAAGCAAGAAAAAAAACAAACCCAATAGCCTTCTGTACATGTATATGATTGTGAATTGGTGCCAAGGGACTGACTGAAAGCATGGCTCTGGAGGAAAAAAAGCACAGTTAATATACTCATGTGCATGTGTGTACAGGTAACTTAAACTTTCAGGGAATTTCAGTAATACTACACTGTAATATTTTCTTTTCCCATTTGAATTCCCCATAATTCACCTCTACTTGGGGGGAGTGAGTAAGACTGAAGAGAGGGAAGACAGCAAAGGCTGGAACTCAGACAAGGGAACCATTGAGGTAACACTACTTGAAGGAGCTACTGTGTAGTTCATGGGTTTTGTTGGTTCCTTTCTTCCTGCAACTCAGCTGGTTTTCACTACACACTCAACAGTTGTTACTCAGTACCTGGATATCCTTCCTCTTTGTGCAGCAGCAGAAAAGGCACCTAAGTAAGGTGCCTGTGCCACAAAGCTACTGGAGGCAAATCTGTGTATGGCAAATGTTTTTGTAGTACATGAATGCAGAAAATTCTCCTAAACACCATATCATCCACCCTGAGATGCTGCCACACTGAAGACTTCATTTTGATGCTCTACTAATAGAAAATATTATAAATATTTATAATATTTATAATAGAAAATAGTAATAGAAAATCACTTTAAATTACTTAATTACTTTAGTGGACAAACCCCCTGTTTTAACTAGTTTCGTAATCTGAGGCTAGAATTAAAGCCTCAGATTCTTAGCTGTTAATTTTTACTACTGACTTAGACCAGGCTTGGTTTGTGAGTCTTAGCAACTATGCTGTTCTTCATATTCCCCCTATAGATTTTCTAGTAAAGCAAACATTAGGTATTTATAGTCAATTTGATCTAGATTGTTCTACTGACAATACCACATGTAATTGATTGCCTACCATCTTTTCATTATTTGGTCCTCTTTTTCTCTTGGGTAATCCAAATATACTGTCTGGAAAGTCTGTAAATGTTTTCTATGCTGGATATGTAACTTAGGTTACTTTATATTGCTGGTGAAAATTCCTGCTAAAATGGTAGCAAGACCAAGTAGAAAATTTTATCTTTAGAAACAGAAGTCCATATGCTTCCACATAGCAGTTCCTTTCTAATGTACTGGGAGTGTGTATTCCTCCTGTTGTCAGTCTAGGGGAAATTGTGTGTACCCAGCAAACATTTACAGCCACAAAATCATCAGAATTCACAGCCTTTAAATAGAAAAGTAAGTAGTCATATTTCACAGATCACTGCTGATATCACCCATAAATTTTCTTTGATGTTCCCTACTTGTGGGGGTTTTTTTGTTTGGTTTTTTGTTCATTTGTTTTTTGTTTTACCACAGCACTTTTTGCAAACACTAGCATTTAAGAGTATTGGAATTAAGATGGTGCAGGCTTAAAGAGAAATCTTTAAGAGCAGGTAATAATGTGAACATCTATTACTCTTGAAGACCACTGAACCCCACAGCAAAACGCTCTAGAAAAAATTGCAGAATTAAAATTGTCACGGCCCTGTCCCTCCTTTTTTAAACTTATGCTAATCATGTCACTTATTATTCCTCATACACAACTTGTAGTGTAAGAGTGTAAAAAGCTTAATTAAAAACCTGTGCAACCCCTCTCCCAGCCTTTCCCCTCTAATATATCCTATATATTCCTTGGTTGTCCATAAAGCCCTTCATTCCCATACAAATCAGCAGAGACGATCACATAATGAAACATCTTCTAGTTGACACCGTAGTTGAAATGATATGGAGATAAAAGGTCTGGGCTATACTTTTATTAACAGCTTCAATAAACCAAAGTAGTATTTGGGGCCTTCTTCCTATGCTGCTCAAACCTGAGGCACTGAATTCCCATTATTTTGTTTCTTCTTATATAGAATTAAGCAGCTCCAAAGCTTCTTTCTGTACCTGAAAGAAATAAACGGTAAAAAAAGAGTGCCAAGTAGTTATAGGCTCTTCTAGCAAAATTTGCCACACAAGCACTCAAACACTTCACCACAGTTCTGTATATTCAGAATCCTCCTAAGACTAGTCATTTTTCATCTGTAGTTCAAGGTGCTCAATACTTGAAACATGAATAAGAATAAAACCACTTAAGCCAGTGTCTTCAGTGTAATTCATTCTATATATAGTAAGTTTATTTGTGTTGGATACAGATGATTAGCTCTTTATTTGCTGTAGTCCGATAGTAGCAATGTAGGGAGTTGTCCTACCTCTGACCATACTCAACCAACCCAGAGTTTTCAAGATTCTGGACAGCAGGTAAGAGAGTGTGAGAAGACAGTTTCTGAGGTTCCCTTTGCCTAGAGGTTCTGGGTAAAATCTGATACGATTTTATTATGACCTCTAACATTTATATTAACCCCCCCCAACAAACCCAAAAAAACCAAAAAATCCCAGCACCACCACCCCCCGCCCCCCAAACCACAAAAAGACCCTCCAACTCAACAAACTTCTCCTGACAAAGCAAGCAGTGCAGACAACATAAGCCAGATAACTCTGAGTATCTGTAGTAACAAATGTTCAGAAAATCTAGTTATGCTGAGACAAGAATTCAAATGCCTTTGCACAGGCCACTTTCCTTCATACTGGACTACCACGTCTAGTTCCCAATGAATTTTGCACTTTACACATTCACCCAGAGAACGGAGAGAATACCACCTCTCTTCAGTTCAGCAGCTCTGCACCCCTCTAGGAGATCAGGAAATGGATGTTTGTACCGGGAGGCCATGACTGGCTGCAGCAGATAAATGGTTTAACAACTTGGCTACAGCACAGAATTCACTCCTGATTATTCCTTTTCTGTGGTTCTTAAAAAAAGGCAAACTTTTGGGATCACTGGTTTCACATGTGCCTCTAGCTACTAGTAACTGTCAGAAGAATTGACCAATTTCATACACACCTGAGACCACTACTACTTTAGGCTATTAAATTCCTATACATTTTACAAGGCAGTGGAGGAACGTAATACTTGTATTTCTACTGAAAGGTGTTATTAAAGGAGCTCACTTTTGGAAGAAACAGTTTGAGCCTTACCAGCAAATCTACAGAGGGATTTTGTAAGACTACCTCAGTAGTGTTTTTTCTGAGGTGTGAAATGCAAACTCCTACCAAAGTATTTCTAACAATTAGGATATTAGAATGTCACAACCCATATGGATGATTTCTGTAACAGTTAAAGCATCTCACACTGTAGCTTAATGCTTAACAAATTAGAGGTCAACCAACCATAAGAAAAAACGATTAGCAATGAGTTAGTACTCTGTATATGTTTAGGTAGGAAGTAGATGCCTACCCATCCAAACCAGGATCCTTCTGAGCAGTTCCAAAGGGTAATTAAGTGCCTGATGCCACCTAGCATTGGAGGTTTGCTGTCAAAGATACATTACCTCCATTTGTGTCAATTCAGACCATCTGAATCTGTCCCTAAGGGCTTGGAATGGACTGCAGTATTAAGTTTTTCACATATATGTGGGGTTTTTTTTCTTCCTCATGTTCATGTGATTTTTAGCTCTTCCAAAACCTACCTTTCCAGTTTTAGGCATACGAAAAGTCAATTTGCTCACAGAGACAGAGGCTAGCCCAGGGGCCTGCCTGAACTTCAGCAACACAGCTAAGGCTGGGTTGTTGTTAGCACTACAAAAACATCATGGAGAAGGAAATGTAACAGTTCTCTACAGTAGATAAACAGAATATTTCCAACCACTGTGTTCAGGGGTGATTAGCTACATACTGGAGTTTTTTGGTGCTGATGTGATTCTGAATAATAGGTGCTGAACTACAATTTCATCTGAGTTAACTTTATAAAACATTTCACTGCCATGATGTCACATGTTGGTTACAATACGTGATTGTACTATTACAGTTCTTAACTTCCTACCTGTTTGTCCTCTTCTGTCTGTGCAGGATACTCCTTTGCTTTGCTTAACCAGAGAAGAGCCATCTTTTTATTGTTTAACTTCAAGTATGTCTTCCCCAAAAAGAGCAAATTTTTGCTGTAGAAATTTGGATCAGCTGCATAGACAGGAGAAAAGCTTTACATGAGAACGAGTAGCGTATTATCAAAGCCCTTTGATACTTATTTCAGAAAACACATATAGTCTTTTGGCTTTGGATCAGAAGGAAGCCAATGTAAAACTTTCACTTACTAGATTTTGGTCTTATATACAAGTATTTTAACTAGAAGCTTGTTAGTTACTAAATGAAACTAGATTCCTCACAAAGAGCAAAGCAGTGAGCTTAATGTGTAACAACTTTGTTTTGCAGATTTTGGGCTTTTTTGGACCTAGCAGGTACAACAGGCAATGCAACCAGCTGAGCAAGTATAGGCAAAGGAAGAAAGGGTACATTTCCTAGCACATAAAGATACCAGTTTAGCTTTTGTTGCACAGAAGAAAACTTAAAATTATTTGTACCCACATTCAACATTTTTTAAGTGGAGATTTAAAGCTTTTTACTAAGCAAGCTTGGCTATCAATCATTATTAAAGGCTAATCTTGCCTACAGTCCATACTTATAAATGCAGGCTTTTTCTGCTGCTGGACCTAAGATCAGGATTTAAAAAATATGGAGGTGTTTTAAAGGCAAATTTTGAGACAAAGTTCAGTGTTCCAGCTCACAGCTGCCTTACGGGACACCCAGGACACAATGAGCTTTTCCTTTAAACTTCACTGGTTTAACTATGTACAAGTCTTTCATAAAACAGTCTTTCCTTGTCTTCCTTTATCTTTCGGCTAGTCAGTTTTGCTTATGACTTCACTCTTGGAGAAATAGTAGCTTGATATTTTCTTCTACATCATGTGGACAGTTTTACTGCCAGTTAGATTGGCAGTCTGATCCTAATCACTTCTGAAATAATAAAAAATTGTGTACTTTTCCTGTTGTTCTATTTAGAATACAGAGAACTAAATTTTGAGAAAAATAACATTAAATTCGCTTTTTTTGATTTCTTTTTTTTCCTGCACTCCAGTTGAATTCCTTGGGAAAGAGTACTTTGTTACTCAGGAAGGTACAAATTTCACTTTAATACTTATTCTGAAAAAACCTTCACATTACATTGTAAGTGATGATAGAAAGTGTGTAGCATACTTTGAGTATCTCTGAAGAAATGTGCCAACCTAACAGTCCAGTGTGCTGACTGGCGTGCCAGGCTGATACATTTATCAGTTGATCATACTGTACTGTTTGGTTTACCTGGCTATTAATAGCTACAGCTATTAAGGTGATACCGAAAAACTGGAGGTTTACTGCAAGTCGTCATTCACAAAAGATACTTTTCAGTCAAAACAAGCTTGAAATATTACCTTCCTCTGCCATGTGAAAGTAACGTAGCGCCTGTAAAAGACAAAGTTGTCTTCCTTAAAATGGAGAATAAACCAAACACAAACTAAAGCCTTACGTGCATGCTTAAAATAGCTGGATAGGACTTCCTGGAAAGGACTTCCTGTCTGTGATCTTATTTTTATTAATTCAACATGCTATGATGCTTCTCATTCAATGTACAATCAGATTTGACATTATTTCAGCAGAACTAGTACTTATCCAAAATATCCCCCTAACCACTTCCTCCATTAAGTACAGTACCACCTGTTTGTCCCCAGCAAACCGGATTGTGTATTTCCAGTTCAACTTCTCAAGATAATTTCGCATTTTATTTGTACCATCCAGCACATCTGCAGTTTTCCCCATACGTTTCTCATGTATAAATTCAACAGCTGAAATGAATCTTATGATTTAGGACATTAATGTTAACAAATGCTTCAGAGAGAGAACTAACTCCCACAGAGCACTAGTTAGCACCCTCTTACATGAGGATAAACATTTCTGAAATCCACATATTTTTCAATCAGTTTCCCATCCTGCACATATGAAATTTCAGTCCAACTCTACCTCTTCCTAATGGTACTAGTTGGGGGGAAAACACTCTCAGAGAACTTAAAAGTATGGATGTATATACAAAACATATTTTGTACTGAAACTGCAGAAATCCTTCCAGTACAAGTTTGCTTCTTCAGCCACTTTAAGTGCTACAGGACTTGATGCTGGGACTGACATCATTTTGCAGTATTTGAAATCCTGGTTGATGTTTTGTATTCTTCTGAGAGTGATTTTCAGCAAAACTTACAAGCTTGACATTCCATTAAAAAGTTTTATTTCTTTTTCAATCAGACCTTAAATTGCTTTCTGTGTAACAGCAAGCAGTCTTCTATGATTACTTCCTAGTGACTCCTGCCCCCTCACCATAAAAGAACAAAACAGTTATTAGTTGATCTAAACAACCAGAGATTATAACAGCTGCAGCAAACTTTCCTATTACCAATTTAATTTTCAAGTTTCTATATATGTACAGGTGTTTAAATAAGATGCATGCTGTTTTAGACACCCTAGAAGATAAATATCTGGGCAGTATGTTTTAGGGCATATGACAGCAGGAATTTTCATAGCAAAGAGTGAAAAAATTATTTTCAAATTAAAAAAACCCACCCTTTGTGGTCAAGGAATGAGAGGGTATTTGCTCATGTTAAGTAACAAAGCAACCTGTTGCTTTTTAGCATTTAAAGGGACAAATTCTAACAGTCCTATCAAATAAATACATGGTATAACAGCACCATATAAATCATCAGCACTGCACTGGTACAGACAGTTATCTGCAACAGATCACAACAGTAAATACAAACTAAGTTACATATAGCTTGTTATTTTCTGCTGCATAATCTACATGGAATAATTTTCACTATTCTGTGTGTGCTACAGCTGAAAAAAATTAAAAGCTTTTTAAGTTTTTAGTTATCCCTCACCCTCCTGTTCTATTCTTATTTTATTATTGATAGTTGTAAACTCCCAAGTCCATGCTTATTCCATAAGCAGAGGTCAGCTTTGACAGGAAAATGAGTAAAAGTATATCAACAGCTTTGTGGGGAAAATAATAATCTATGAAACATTTTCCTACTGTACCTCTTGAAACGTGGAGGTTGGTGGTGTGGCAAACAGCGTTGCAGCAATTTTTCTTTGGTACCATGGCATTTCAGCAAAGGAGTAACACCTGAAGCAAAAAGAAACATTTATATCTACCCTTCCCATATTTCTCTTGTTTTTGAGAAATATTCTCATAATTGTTGTTGAAAACTGGATGTCATAAGTGTTGTTTTCAAGAGTCAAAACTCCAGACACACTGCAAGTTCTAAAACCATGTTCTTATGTCTGTACAAGAAAATAGCAGGATGTCCAAAACTGCTACTAAAGAAGTTTTGATGTGTCTTTTACTGGGAACTAATTACATTAGGTTAAACTGGAGACATTTACTAAGCATGAGCCAGCTTTTGAGCTTTAATGATTTTAATGTGTGTATTTTGTTCTAATATATTTGTAAAAATGGCACAACTGAGTAATGATGTCATTGCCTTACCTCAACACTACTTTGCTTTTTTCAATTATTAATATAAAGCAGATCTGCAGTACATTCCTGAAAGACTTTGATCTATAAGAATGAAAATAAATCCAAGAATCAAACCACTGCGTTCTAGGCTAGGTCATGCTACACTGTTTTTCTATCTACTAAATAACACAGGTAATCGATCAGTCACCTATTTATTGGTGAAAACATTTGTGAAGCATTTCAAGTCCACAGAAGATTCCAGGTGTAAACATTAAACAACGCTTAAACATTCAGTTTAGTAGCCTCCCACAATGAGTTTACAATTACACTATGTAAAATAGAGCACTCTAGAGGAGGTGAAAAATTAATAAATATTCAAGAATTGGCTGATACCAAATGTCAGTTTCAGATGAAGATGCTCTGGGATTCAGTAATGAGTATATTTAAACATGGGAATATTTTAGAGCCAAAAGCAGCAATAATCTCACATTTCTTATCATGTTTTCTAATTTTCCTTAGGAACAATGTCTTAAGTACTTTCCAGAACAAGCTTCCTATCTCAAAACGGACCTTGAGGCTCAGTCAGTTGGTAGCATATGCTTTTGTTTAGATATTTGGACTATTGCAATTTTTGCATCATATGGGAATGAGTGGTGGATGCTGAAAAACCAAAGTAAGTTTGTACACTAATAAAAAACTCTGGAGCAGCAGATTGTAGTTTTCTCTGATACTCAAGAGTCAAAAAAATCCATACAGAAAGTAACTGTGTTTTTTAGTATTTTTTTTAAACTGCAAATATATTGGCTTTATTTTCAATCTCACAGCAGAGATTTCCTGTAAAACAGTGTAATAGCTTTGGTCTTTTTGAAACAAATAACCAAAAGCGCTGTCTGGAGTCTCTCACCAACACATAAAAAAATACTGCTTTCCATCACACCACTTCCACAAAATGCCCTGGTTTGTATGGAAAGTTGTATTTCCAGGCCCTTTGCCTGCTATGTAACAGTAATTTTAAGTACCAATTTCACTGAGCAGTAAATTAAATTTCAAAGATTTTTTGTTAATATATATGAATTTATAAATCCATTTATTAATATAACTTTGAAAATACCGTATCATGACAGATAACAGGAGAAGTATTTTAGGAACACATCTCACTTAGGTAGTTTTTCACAGACTGTATTAAGTTGCAGTCATCCCTGGAATTCAACAGAAATTCAGTGTTGAGTTGACTCCATTCACACCAGTAAACCAAAATGAGCAGGACTCAGAATTGCTGATGCCTGCTATGGATTCTATGAAGCAAACTTAATGTCTGCAAATCGAGTGTTTAATAGTTCCATACAAATAAATTAAATGAACAATTATTTTTCATCTTTTTGAACTGCTTAACAGCCAGACTTTTTCAAGGCATGATGTTCCATACCTGTTTAATAGGTTTTCATGTTTGCATCAATTACAAGTCACTAAATTATTACAAGCAATTCATGTAAGATATTTTATATTCTGGCATTTTTCTTTGCCAAATGCTAAATTTTGTTTGAAAATATGCCTTACCAAATCCCTATAAGATGAATTGTTGTAGCATCTTTTGGATTTAGTTCAATGGCTCTCTGTTGAGGGGAGAAAAAAAACAACACAAGATATAAGAAGTTGTTCTGACATATGTGGATTAAAATACATTTAAAAAGTAGACTTGTTATCCTGCTGTTAATTAAACCAGCCTCATCAGGTGTAGAATTTCAAGGCAATATATTATTTATTCAGTACATAACTACATCAGCTCACCTCCAAAAAACTGACAACACTGACAGATTCTAAGCACTTCTGCTTAGTAGGTCATTAAAAGTTGCATATGAGACTTGGTGTGTTCAGATTTTGATATAATCTCTGGTGATATAAAATTAGTAGTCCCTTATCTTTTCCAGTATTTGTCCTTTACCACTACATAATCCACAATTCAAAGGACGGCCACAGAGCCATTTCTCAATATCACTGTTACATTTTATCTAATCCTCAGAGGTGTCTAAAGCACTTCAGCTATTTCAAGACTCCCTTCTAAAGGGATTTGGTTTACTGCAGGAGATAATTTGTACTCCTTGTTTCCCCAGCATTTCTGAGGCATATGTTACAAGAACCCAAAAAACAAAGTGTCACTAGAGATAGAAACAGAAGTACGCTTTCAATATTTTGCCAAAAATTAGTTACCAGCTGTCACACAATCTATACACTGGATGTATACATTGATGCTGTCATATGCAAAAAACTGTTTGCATTACCTGAAAATGCTCCTTGATAACAATAGCATTTCCAATTTTAGTTTTGATTCCTTCATAGTCTCCAACATCACTGAGGCAAATTCCATACCACTGTAATTCAAATAACAAAAATAAAACATTTAATACAGCACTATAGCTATTGATAGTACATTTTTAAAAACCTGCAACCAGAAGGGCTGCCACCACCACAAATGACAAACAAGCAAGAAGTATTTATTGTGAACAGCTGAGGCAGCATCAGTGTGACCTGCTGGTCTGCATGTGTAAGGGAATAAATGTCCTCTTCCGATCCTAGATGTCAACACAAGTGACTATACTTTGCCCGTGAGAGAAGCAGCACCAAAAAAAAAGCAGAACGAAGTCAGGGCCTGAAGTACTTCTAGTAAAGCCCTACAGAATACAGAAATAGTATGCTGAATGTGGGACATGTACAACGTTTTTAAGGCTACATCAGAGGAGGAGGAGCTGATTACATCTGCTGTAATAAACCTCATCAGTCACACCTCTCTCCATGGTCCTGCATACATTTAACCAGTTTCTGTTTCCTGTATAGAGGAAATTTAGCTGGAGAAGTCTGAACTCAGATCTTCCACAAAAGTTAGGGAGAATCAGAAGTCTCATTCATTCTCAGCTGAAAAGTTAAATTATGCTGAAGTTTGCTAACACAGCACAGTGACATTTCCAGTTTCTACTAGCAGAAATCAACAAACAAGATTTCGGTTATTTTGCATGGCTCACCTTGTGCGCTGCAGAATTTGATTCATTTTTTTCAAGAGCCTTTTTTGCATACTCAAAGGAGTCATAAGTCAGTTGTTTCTTCTCCTCTGCAGAAGTACTACTAAGCTGAGCTAGATCTCGTGATGCCCGTGCCAGCCGCCACAACAACTCCGCATCATCACTAGTTAGGAAGAGAAACGCTAACATTTTGAAGCAATAATGGAAACAAAGCCAGCAAAGATCTTAAAACAGTCTATCAAAATGTATCTCAAGTGGGTGATAAGACAACATTGTATCATCTGTCCTGCTATGCTATATACAACCGCAAGATAACAAATAGAAAAGGAAAGCCCACCATTACAGACTGTCTGACAATACTTCTGTTCTGCCATTCTGGTCTGCAAAGCAAATAGATCTGTAGGAAAGGTCTTTGTTTTCTCAAAAAAAAAAAATAAAAAAAAATGGTACCACTCAACACACCGGAAGGAAAAGAGGACTACTCTGTTCTTAGCTAGATGGTATTTTTTCCAACATTCCACTGATTTGTATTGATGTTTACTTGGAATATTTAAAACACTATCAATCTTTTTCCTACAATTATACTTAAATAATTAAATTCTTCCTAGAACAACAGTGAAAAAACACAGATTAGCCACACCACCAGAACAAAAAGCTTTATGTTTATGTATTTATTTATATCAGTTTATCAAATGGTATATGGTAGGTTATAGCCAAAGATAAAGGATCTAAAATTTGATTTTGTTCACATTGTTATGAAACGCTGCTTGCACTTTTAGAGCACAATCATTTTAATTTTGGCTTTCCATTTTAATAGAGACTTAAATTTAGAGTTTTTCAGAGGTCTTATCTGTGTGGCTATAAACCTCCAGCCCTGGAACACTGAAGTCAAAACTACCAGAAACTAAAAGTATTTAAAAGCATATAAGAATTATTGCTAAACTCTAAAGTATCAGTTTTCTATTCTTATCTGAAGTAACAGTGAGTCACTGCTCTCATAGCACAGCAGTCATGCTCTATTCAACAGAGTAACACGGACCTAGAAGGCTCATTTTTCAGCTAAGTCACAAAAATCTTAAGTACTGCTACTGGAATCATTACTCCTCAGAGAATAATTAGTGTTGTTATACACCTAGTAACAAGCTTACACCTCGCTTATGATATGCTGTCCCTTACAGGCTGGGAACTTCATTTAATTTCACAGGTTTTACACTTGTACCCCTGGCAAGAACAAGGGAGGAAAAAAGAAATAAGGGAAAAAAAAACAAACCCAGGATCTGCAAAGTACTGAAAAGAACCAAAATGTTTTTGGAGCGAGATGTTTTGTCTCCTCCAAGGGAATGGACTCTTAAGTTTGCAATCCCTTTTCTGCTTTTTCTTTAAACAGCTTATCCCAGTTCACTTAATGTTTTTTGCACGTAAGACATAACTACATGAGCAAGGCCTTTTTTTGTTCAGACTCAAATCCTAACATTAGACAAATGAAAACAGAAAGAATAGCTGGTCAGCAGTGAAAAAGAAATGAAACAGTGACTCAAAAATTTTCAACACCTGAATTCTAGGTACCTTGATCCTTTACTAATGCATAGCCACATTATGAGTTTTTGCAGTAATTTGAAAATTATTTAAAATTTGAGTAACAAAGCAAACAAGCAAAAACCTCTCCTTCGCAGGACTGAAAAACTTAAGGGTTAATTCTCATCTTCTACAACTACCAGTTCTTTCTTTATTCATTTTTCCAGTAGGAGGGAAAAGATTAGGAATCCTTTCCTACTTATATAAGGGTGAAAGCAAGGTTCTCCAGCATATTACAGTGAGCATATTTGTTGAAAAGCTGATACAGAAGAGCACCGAAAAGTCACAGTAATGTCTCAATGTAACAAAGTACCTATTTTTATGCTGAACCAGCAACTGATACAGTTTTTCAGTTTCTCCACTCCCGTACAGGTAGTCTGCTTGTTCTATCACTTCTTCCACTTCAGAAGAAATTAAAATTGGGGAAACAGAAGAAAAAATTACAGTAATTAGCACATTATAGCATAAACTAAATATTTTACAGCAAGACGACCTAGCTGAAAATGATATAGCTCTTTTTTAGGCCATCATTCCAAACAACTTACAGGTACAGCAGGATTGAATAAGCAACATGTACAATGCTCAACTAGGATGAGAATCAGTGCCTCTCTAATGCAACTACAACAGCTTTCAGCAAGACAGCTTGGATGCTTAACAAAACATAAGCTCTAAGCTCCTTCATAAAAATTAATTGTGTTTATAAGCTTTCCTTTTTGACGTTACCTAGTAAATAGGGTAGACACATTTAGCGGCAGCAAAGTTTTCCTTAACAGAAGAAGGAAAACATTAAAGGTTATTAAACACAGCAGCCTGCTCTTCAGTTTAAAAAGATCCTAGACTATAAATCTAGATAATTTTTAACCTTGCTGTCTTATCTTTCAAAGATAAGCTAACGGTCTACCTGGACTTTAGATCTTAGTGTTTAAAATGAGCTTCATACTACATCTTCAGCATTATCTTCAGTAAACTATTATGTTTGCTTGTTGACCTTAACACTACTAACATATCTAATGACTAAATGCTCAAAACTCTGAACACATTTCCCACGAGGTGTTTTTATGCAAATTATTATACTTTTATTGCTTTGGAGTATTTTTCAGGTATTTCTATTTTACCCTTATTTTCACCTTATCTATTACTTGTTTTGCAAAGAAAGCCCATTACCATTGCTTTTCTTGGCAATGTAAATGCCAGATTCAAGAGGGAGCACTGAAAAGACTAGAGGTGACTACACAGTGTTATTTATGTTCCTCATGAGAAATGAGGAATTCCTTATTCCTTGTTATTACTATTTCTTATTTGTGTACCAAGTGGCTATCTCAAATCTATTCACTGACACTTCTTCTGTTATAGAAAATGAGACAGTTCCTTATTTGCTCAAAAATTAATTGTCCGAATTTTTATTTCTATAAGCATCAACACAGTATGCATATAGCCAGTCAGGCTCATTCTCTATTCAGCTAGGCTTACTCTCAAAATCCTGAATTTACCATGTGATAGACGAGTTCTAAGTCTGTAACAATATCCTCTTTTAAGATGTTGTTACTGTTCTACCAGCAGTGAAACTATCCTTATTCAAATTTGAAAAGGATATTTTATTCCTTGTTATATTGTTTTCTGGTAGGGAAAGCAGGATTTTGAAGTGTCACAAAAAATACAAGCCATTTCTCAACTCTCTTTGAGATGCAATCTCAGTATTGCTCAACTGGATAAAATGGGAATCACACTTTTTTCATACTGAAAATCTAAACTAACTAAAATTTCTAGAAATCAAATAAGCTTTGGTCTGTGTTCCTAAGTGAACTTTTCAGTATGATTTATTTAAAGCTTGGGGAGCAAGTTAGGTATCATACACCTTGTACATGTGGTCCATCCCTGTCAGGATGAGCTACTAGATCTGCTTTCAGTGACAGCTGAAAGCACTTGTTAAACTGCTACAAGGCTACCCATAAACGATTCAAAAGCATACTGCCATTAAATCACATTGCATGCAGTCTTAATAGCGAAAATCAAGCATTACACCATTTTCCTCTATAATTCTTGCACTAAAAATTTTAACTTTCACATGAGAGTATCCTACATACTTCAAAATTTGAAAATATTACCTTTGAAGCTTGCATGAACCTCAGCAAAGCCAAAAATCAGCTTATGAGCTTCATAAGCCAAAAAGGACCCTGTTGAAAGCACAAGCCCCCTCTCAAGGTTTTTTCTAAGCACCTGTATGGGATCATAAGATAGATATTAACATTATCGTTCTGAGTTTAAATTTTTTTTGTCTGTAGCACCGGTTATATTTCAGATTTTGAGCAAAGAGAAAACTTTTAAATGTTAAAAAACCTTCATAAGACGAAACAGTTCATCAAGAGGGTATTTTAAGTATATTCAACAGAAGCTCATGATTACGCTTTAAAACGACCACAGCGCTAGACTGAAAACAAACCATAGATACGGAGCAAATACAAGATAAGAAGCAAAAAAAGGGCACTAGTGTTCTTCAAACGAGCGGAGGGCTCCCAGCTCTTGCAAAACCAAACCAGCCCTTCGCTACGCCCCGCGATGCCGGAGCCTCCCCACTGCCGCCTCCTCCCGCATCCCCACCCGCGGCGGAGCGGCCCCGCGGGGGCGAGCGGCGGCACAGCCTGTGAGAATCACAGGATCGATCAGGTTGGCAAAGACCTCTGAGATCATCGAGTCCAACCCATGACCGAACAGCACCATGTCAACGGGACCATGGCACGAAGTGGCGCGTCCAGTCTTTTCTTAAACACCCCCAGGGGCGGTGACTCCACCGCCTTCATGGCAGCCCGTTCCAAGAAGCCCCTGGGAGCGGTCGCGCCCCCCCGCCCCGAGGGGCACCCCGGCTACCTCGCTCCACGTCCGGCCCCGGCCCCACGGGCCATTCGTCGCCTCCCGTCGGAGCCGCAGCCCTAGGCCGGCAGGACCACGGCGGAAGGGCCGCGCCAGCACCGCCATGAGCGTCGCCATCGCCGCCGCCAGCACCGCCCCCCGCCTCCGGAGGAGCCGCTCCGCCCCGCGGCCCTGCCGGGGCGCGGGGGCACACAAGGGCAGGGGCCGCCCGGGCCGCCGGCCCGCCCGCTGTGCCGAGCACCGGGCATTGCGCGGCCCCGAGCCGGAGCCACACTGGGCTTCGACCCGCCCGCCCGCCTGCCCGCCTGCCCGCCTGCCCGGGACGCGGGGTGGGCGGGAGGGGCGGAGGGCTCTGCGCCTGCGCTCCGGGGCGGGGCGGGCGTGTCCGGCTGGAGCGGGCGTGGCCGCCGCGGGCTTGGGACTCGGGGCTCGGGGTGCGGAAGCGCCGCCGCTGCAGGTGAGGAGGGGCCGGGTTCGGCCCACGTCCCCGGGCTGTGTGCCGGCCCATTTGCAGCGGGGTTTGCGCTCTCGGCCCACCAGCCTTGTCCAGTGAGAGCCATGTGGGGCTGCGGCTGCGGGGCAGGGCAGGGCTGCAGGCGCCTGCGGCCGCTTCCTCTCGTGGAACGTGCCCCGGGTGCGGCTCTGCTCCCTGCGCCGGGACACGGGCGCGCTGCCCGGTGCTGCTGCGGGGCTCGGGGCATCGCCCTTCACCCGCCGTCCCGCAGGTAGCGAAACTCGGCGAAGCTGAACTTCTAGGCCGGAAGGTTTGAGTCCGCAGTACCGACCTCTGTGGCGCTGTAAGCACCACTCTGAAAAACACCCTCACCTCTTAGAGAGATGTCTGTTGAGATGCAGCATCGTTCCTGAAAACCACATGCTGTTCTTCCTGAGCTGCTGCTTGAGTGGGTGGTTGTTTTCTTGCTTCATTGCAATTGCATAATATATATAAGACGAGCCTTAGATGACGTTCATGTTGTCATAACTTGCTCTTCCACTAGGGGAAAGTGAAAATGTGAAACCTCTTCACTTTTGCTTCCGTACTCCTGTCTTCAAAGTCCATTAAGTATCTTCAAGGTAATATGCATTGCCCTGCCTCCAAAACATTTGCTTTCTTGAGGATTTTGTTTCTGTGGTGGTGCATAAAGTTTGTTTAGTAGAAGTAGAGTCAAACTTAATCCCAGATTTTTTTTTTTTTGAGTTGAAGCTTTAAATTTTAACTTTGTAGATGTATAATCACAGAGGTAAGACGTTTCAAAGGGCATGCAGAACACCAACAAGAATTAGAAGAAAAAGTGAGCAAGAAAGATGTGCGAGGAGAAAGAGAATCTGTTTTTCTGTTATGGTCCTAGAAAGAATGCAGTATTTTTGCAGCAAGTACGTTTGTGTTAAATATCTCAAAATTAATAGATACAGATTCATTATAGATGACTTTTGGACTAATTTTAGTTCAGCTGTTGAAAACAAAAGTCCGTTTCTGGTAAGCTGAATAACTAATTTTGTTAAATGTCATCTGCCAGAATGCCAAGGTAGCAGTGTGGTATCGCAGTGTTTGTACAGCCTTCTGTTACGCCCAGGACATTAACATTTCTTCAGAATTGAAGGCAGAGGGAAGCCACAGTAGCTCTTTAGTACAAACAGTGCCAAAAACTAAAATCTCAACTCCACAGATACCTGGGGTGGAGTTTAATTTTTTGTTTTTACCTTATTTGATTTAGGAACAGATGTTGTCATTACCATGGTTTCCTAGAGGAAATACCTTTAAGGGGCAAAGTGAAGGCGGAAGATACATTTTTTTCCCTTCCTGTTTATTTTCCTGTGAAAGTCAGGATGCTATTTCAACATAAATAATACGTGATTATGTTAGTATTTATAGATACTAGTTTCTGTTAAACCCAACAAAATTGCTTCTGTTCTTAGATCAGTTAGGCAAAGATTAATAATATCCCCTTCTAATATCACATTTGAAGTTGTGGTGTGGCTTGTGCAAACAACTAGGAAGTGGAATTACAGTGCTCTTAATTGTTTTATAACTTTAAAGGTCTTTTCCATCAATTCTGTAATTCTGTTTGATTTCTGTGGTTTATCTTTAATGTTGTTTTAGTTGAGATGCTGTTGCTCAGGCATTTAAAAAAGGGCCTTAAGTGTTTGAAGGATCTCTGAATATAGGAATTTTGGGACTGGATTCTGGATCCAAGCTTCTGTTTAAGAAATAGTCTTTAGTGGTTTGGATCACTTGCTTAATACTTTCTTTTGTGGTTGAAAGAAGACTTTATCCTGTAGATCCATTCTACCCCTTTGGTGGATCAAAGTGCACACGTTCACTCAGTGCTTTATACAAGGCACAACTGAATTAGTTCTAGTCATGCCAATTTGGTTCTGATGCTGCCCATATCCAGAGGGGTTGTTCCAAAGTCCTCATGGTAGGTGATTAGCATATGTGCAATCATCTGATCGTTCCAGGAATTAGCATGATTGCTGTGTGCCTGTGTTCAGAGCCGCTGCCTATGGGTATGCAGAGCATGTATGATGCCTGCCAGGCACAGGGAACACTGACTGCAAGTAGCTGCTGTGATACAGAATTGAAGACAGCTGACTGGAGAGCTCTTGGTTTGCATATAGGAAGGTTTGAAATACACCTGGGCTATAAAAAAGTGTAATTTTGTGATCGTGTGTTTCAAGATGTTGTTATTGTTTATAGCAAGACAAATAATATGCTGGACCATTGTAGGATACTGTTTTTATGGATTTTTCTTAGACGTCCTTTAGCAGTATGAGAAAGCTTAGGTTTCTTAGAGCATAAACCACATTGGGAGCCACTGAATTTGATCTACTTACTCTAAACCACTGTCACCTTATTGGAAAAAAACACATTAAATGAATAGGACAAAAACTGTAATCTGATCTTTGTTTTTAAAATCTTAAAGGGCTTTTCTTGCTGGACTTTTTAAACGTCTAATATGTACGGTTCTGTAACAAAGACTGAGTTTCCCATAAGTAATCTTTTCAGTGCTGCTGTCATGGAGACATAAAGCTGTTAGACAGGTTATTTATTTTAAGAGGAACTATAGTTCCTAAAACTCTATGAATGCACTCAACCCTCTTACTTTGATCGATATATGGGAATAACAATTCTTAGTTTTATTTTCCTTTCACTTCACATTTTAGTGCTCCTGTTGGTTGAAGTTTAAGCCTTTTGCTGAGAGGCCCAGAGGCAGACCTCTGAGGTAAGTTACCATTTTTAAGAACTGGTATTTGTAACAGTGAAGTGTCACAACATGCCCAAAAAACAATGTGTGAGAAGGAGTAGTCTGAAACATGTGGTCACCTGCGTCTTAATAAATAAAACACAGCAAGTTTTAGCGAGATAAAAGTTTTTCTTTCTTCTGAGTAATGTTAATTATGTAGTCAGTCAGTCAGTGGCTCTACACAGAGAAATTGCAATGAAGAATACACGATTTAAGATGCTATTCACATTGCATAGTCGATAGATTGTTTTCTATGGTGTTAAGATACTCTGATAAAGCATATAAACATATATGCAGGAAATACATGTTGCCCTGGTTGGCTGCTGTATGCTTAAAATAACTAAATTTTGAAGTCAGGAGATCTATCTGTCTTAATTTTCTTGCTAAAGGCAAAATATTACCTTTTATAGTTTAGCTCACTTGAATCAAAATGTCACCCAAGGTTCTTGTGGTACTTTTGTGCAGGGCGAACACACATATACAGGAAAAAAAAATCAACAGAAGAATATTTAGAAATGACTGTTTCTAAGTCATTTTGTGAAGAGGTGTCCTAGAAGTCAAATTAGTATTTTCTGAGTAGTAGGATTTTTTAAAAAAAGAATTCTAAACATGTTGTTTGGCAATGTAACTTAATGATAGATTTTTATATATAGGAACAGCCTGCTAATAGTTGTCTGACTTGTTACACCGCTGTGCTACCAATGCAGTAGATAAATATTTGCACTACCTGAGTATCATGAGGCTTATAAAAAGTAGATGATTCATTTCCCATAGAGAAAACTGTATCTCCTTCTCACGCATTCATATACCTCAGATTTCTCAGATATTACCTCTTATTTTTGTTTGGCATAATCCCCAGTAAATTAGTTGTGTGGTCATTAGGGTTTTGTCAGCATAATCTCCCTTGTTCAATTCAGAATGCTTTAATTCCTTCATGCATAGTAAATAGTGAATATGAGAATTATAGAATCATATAGGTTGGAAAAGTCTTTCTAGATCATCGAGTCCAACCTTTGACTGAAAACCACATTGTCAACTAGACCATGGCACTAAGTTCTACATCCAGTCGTTTCTTAAACATTTCCAGGGATGGTGGCTCCACCACCTCCCTGGGCAGTCCATTCTAATTCTTACCAACTGTTTCTATGAAGAAATTCTGTCTGATATCCAGCCTGAACCTCTTCTGGCACAGCTTGAGACCATGTCCTCTTGTCCTGTTGCTTGTTGCCTAGGAGAAACCAACCCCCACCTGGCTACAACCTCCTTTCAGGTGGTTGTAGAGAGTGATAAGGTCTCCCCTGACCATCCTTTTCTCCAGGCTAAACAACCCCAGCTCCCTCATCCACTCCTCATAGGAATTACTTTCTAGACCCTTCAGCAGCTTTGCTGCCCTTCTCTGGACTCACTCCAGCACTTCAATGTCTTTCTTGTAGTGAGGAGCCCAGATCTGGACACTTGAGGTGCGGCCTCACCAGTGTCAAGTACAGGGGGACCATCACTGCCCTGGTCCTGCTGGCCACACTATTCCTGATAGAGGCCAGGATACCACTGGCCTTCTTGGCCACCTGGGCACACTGCTGTCTCATGTTCAGCTGCTGTTGACCAGCACCCCCAGGTCCCTTTTGATGGGCAGCTTTCCAGTCACTCTTTCCCAAGCCTGTAGCACTACAGGGATTGTTGTGACCCACATGCAGGACCCGGCACTTCACCTTATCACTTCATATCATTGGCCTTGGCCCATTGATCCGGCCTGTCCAGATCCCTCTGCAGAGCCTTCCTACCCTCCAAGATAGATATAGCTATCACTCTAGAAGTAGATAAAAGATACAGCTTACACTCCAGGTTTTGTGTGATTCTTCAAATACAAAATTACTCAAGTTGAGATGCTTCCGTTACTCATCTTGTCAGCACATCAGCTAGTGCCACAGGACAATTTTACCAGCTTTGTTCCCTGTAAACAAAATAAAAAGAGGAGGAAGAATTCAGATTTAGAGGTATGATTTTTAGAGAAGCTGGGTTTTTTTAGGT